TGATTGAAGTGTTTCATAGCTAATATTTTTGAACTCCCAAATGCTATCTTTTTTAAAAAGGCAAAGGGTAACTTATTTCTTATTGTTTTATGTTTGCTCACATACCTTACTGTTTGATAGTTTCACACTTTCACTTGTTCTTCCCCTCAGGTCACTTATGATACAACTGGATTCCTGGAGAAGAACAGGGACCTATTGCACTTGGATTCTATCCAACTTTTATCCTCAAGCAAATGTCATCTTCCTCAGATATTTGCATCCAATATGCTTACTCAGTCTGAGAAGCCTGCAGTTGGTCCCTTACACAAGTCAAGTGGGGCAGATTCCCAAAAGCTAAGTGTTGCTACAAAATTCAAGGTGCACAACCTTAGTTATGATTTTCTCCAAACTCGTCATTAAATGGTCTAACACTTAGGCAAACTAATGTTTTGGTTCTGCCATCCCTCCATTCAATATATGCTAGACTTTATTTTCTAGTATGCAATTGATGGTAATGCAAAATATTGCAGCTACTGCATGAAAAAGAAAAACGGTCTCATCTAAATATCAATGATCCTAATGGTAATGGTGACATGGCCTGTCAATTCAGGATGCTTCAAATTAGTTATTTTAATTGTTGCAATTAATCAATTTGTCATATGTTTTAATGAACGAAAACAATGCATCAAACCATGCATTTTTTTAATGCATGATCAACTCTCCCCTTTCCCCACCTTACTCCATCCGCTTTCACTCCTACCAAACGCACGATAAATATTCAGAGCCTCAGAGGTTTATTTTAGGTTGGGATGTTTATCCTGGTTGAATTAACTTTAGAAGTTATTTCTGTTGGCACCCAGGGACAATTGTTCCAACTGATGCAACGTTTAGAGAGCACTACACCACATTTTATACGGTGCATTAAGCCAAATAACATCCAATCACCTGGATCATATGAGCAAGGCCTTGTCCTGCAGCAGTTGAGATGTTGTGGGGTCCTGGAAGTGGTTCGAATATCAAGATCGGGCTTTCCGACTAGAATGTTTCACCAAAAGTTTGCCAGAAGGTATAAAGATAGAGAACGAAACTATGGGGATTAATGTTCTTTCAATTAATGTCTCTAACCTTTCTCTTATTGGCTTGGTTTTTGATGAATCAGATATGGTTTTCTTCTCCTTGAAAATGTTGCATCTCAGGATCCACTAAGTGTTTCAGTTGCTATTCTTCATCAGTTTAACATTTTGCCTGAGATGTATCAAGTTGGCTTCACGAAATTATTTTTCCGAACGGGGCAGGTAAATAGATGTCTATGATTTTTTATACACATTATTCTTATTTATTTAAATTGCTGTGGTAGTGATAAATTCAATTGTACTGATTGTATAGCGTCAGTTTTTTTCATGGCTCTAATGTTTTTGTGTTAACATCAACTTAAAAATGAATTAAGGAAATCAGTTGAATTTTTTATCTCAAACCTCTCATTATCTCCCATGTACTTTTAGGCATTGTATTCAGCATCGTCCTTAAGTATGGTGCAGTGGAGAAACCTAGTATATGGAAGTGTAATGAAGAAGAATGATATGATATGATTGATTTTTTTTTTTTTTGTGTGGTTAGGGTTATAATTTGAGAATTAGTTTTTACTTAATAAGCGATGGAATTTTGGACTGCAATGATATGGGATATGGATAGATTTGATCTTTTTTTTTCCGCTATCCGCCTAGTCTTTGTTACTCATTAAGTGTAGTGAAATTATTCCTTTTTTTCATTATTTGCTCTTTTCTTTCTTCATGCTCTCTTGTCATTTTTTCGCCAAAGTCTAAAACGGTCTTATCCTACGTTCCAGCCTAACTTTGAACTCTTGCAATAGTTTAATCATCTGAACCCAACTTTAAACTTTATCTACTCCTAATTTATGTCGTTGGATTGAAAGGATGCCAGAATTGTTTTGGCATCACTTTGCATCATCTTTTGCATGATAAACTGGTCCATCTCTTTGAACTCGTGCTTCTGTTGTTCAATATGCTTTTGCATTATGTCTATAAACTTTTGAAATAGTTGCCCAACTTTAAACTTTATTTACTCCTTTCTTTTGCTTTTGTCTTTAATATGCTGCTTTGACCGTGATGGCAGATTGGAGTGCTTGAAGATACTAGAAATCGTACCCTCCATGGCATTTTACGAGTGCAAAGTTGCTTCAGGGGTTACCAAGCTCGTTGTTATCGCAAGGAGCTTTGGAGAGGAATCACCACTCTTCAATCATGTATTTCTTTTTTCTCCACCTTATTCTTTAAGCCTTTAATATTCCTTGAGAAGTGTAACAGACCGGAAACATTTTTTTTAACCTATTCATGCAGTTATTAGGGGAGAGAAAAGAAGAAAGGGATATGCAGCTTTGCTTCAGAGACATAGAGCTGCTGTTATTATACAGAAGCGGATGAAAACAGTATTTGCAAGAAAAAGAATGAAGACTACTATTGATGCTGCAGTTATCATACAATCATGTAAGAATTCTATGTTCTCTAAATGCAAAGATACATGTTCCTATTTTTTTTTTTGTATGTTCGGAGTAGTCTCATAAAGACAGAGAACACCAAAAGTTGTTTAAATATATTATCAGTCCTCTTTTCTGTCTTCTTCTGAGCGAGTGTAATGAAAATTCTCCTCTAAGTGTCCACATCAATGATGGACATGACTCACGAGTCAGCATCGGTGTTGCACCGAATGTTTCGCAATCAAAATTCCTAAATTTTATTGTGGAAGATAATTATACATTTCAAAATACTACATTTTGATGTGTTATGGACAACTGTCTTTTCAATGGTTTAATTATAGGTAAAATTTCGTAATTTGTTTTTGCTACTTTCTGCAGTTATTCGCGGTTGGTTGGTCAGAAGATGCTCAGCAGATATAGGATTATTGAAATCGGGAGGCATGAAGGTATTCTTTTTTCTAATTTCATAAACTATATTTCCAAAGGATTGTTGTCATGGATTTGCTTGTAGAATTTTCATCTTTATGATACTCACAATCATGATCACTAAAACAGACTAATGAGTCAGATGAGGTTCTGGTGAAGTCGTCTTTCCTAGCTGAATTACAACGCCGGGTACTTAAGGCAGAAGCTGCCTTGAGAGAGAAAGAAGAGGAAAATGATATCCTTCATCAACGTCTTCAACAGTATGAGAGCAGATGGTCTGAATATGAATTAAAGATGAAATCCATGGAAGAAGTATGGCAGAAACAAATGAGATCCCTGCAATCTAGCCTATCTATTGCAAAGAAGAGCCTTGCTATGGATGATCCTGAAAGAAACTCAGATGCATCCGTTAATGCAAGTGATGAGAGGGATTACAGCTGTGATATAGGAAGTAATCACAGGCGCCAAGAAAGCAATGACACAAGATCAATGAGTGCAGGTTTGAGTGTTATTAGTCGGTTGGCTGAAGAATTCGAGCAGAGAAGTCAAGTATTTGGTGATGATGCCAAGTTCTTGGTTGAAGTAAAATCTGGTCAAGTTGAAGCAAGTTTGGACCCAGATAAAGAGCTTAGAAGGTTAAAACAGATGTTTGAGGCTTGGAAAAAGGATTATGGTGCAAGACTGCGTGAAACGAAGCTCATTTTACATAAACTTGGAAATGAAAGTGGTTCAATTGAGAAAGTAAAGAAGTGGTGGGGAAGAAGGAATAGTACAAGGATAAATTGATTTATTTTTTTCTTTTTGCGGTTTTGGCTTTGATCTATGCATTGTTTTTAGGGCATTGCCAACTATATATCCGAAAATGAGGAAATACAATAGGAAAGATAAGATAGGAGTAGGAAGAGTCCAAGTATGAATGATTTGTTTAGTGTAATTATGTTAAGTTGTTGCTAGCCGCTTTTATTTATCAGAAATAACTGCCGGAGTTGTGGAGTTAGATGCTCACTACAAGCCCTGTGATTCATGTATATCAACAACTCGCCTTTAGTGGTCTGTGATTTGTATGTTACTTATGGTCTGATGGTCTGATAATATCTACATAATTTCATTATTTATGGCTTAAAATCATATTTTATAGTAGAAATCATTCAAATGAGGGTTAGCGTAGCTCAGTTGAGAATCCAGCTGCGCTGGACCATCCAAACTTTCTTGTGTTCGCATCAAACTATATAAATCAAGTTTATTAAAGTATATTAAATGAATGCTTATTTCCTAACTTTAAATCAAGAAGTAAATCAGATACTGCAAATAGGAGATAGCATTGACAACACCAAACATTGGTCCTAGATTCGCAGGGGAAAGGGGAAAAAAACAAAAAAAAAAATCACTAAATGGAAAAGGACTCTTAACTACAAGAGATGACTGCATAAAAAGCAAAAACTATTTCGTCGGCAAAGTTTCTTCCATGTCGCCCAGTAATATTAGCAAGGAAAGAAAAAATTAAGTCAGCAAAAGAAATGGGGAAAACATTAAAATTAATTCACAATGGAAGCACAACTGGACACTACTACTGCAGCATTCGTCATATTCAGCATTTATGAAAAAAAAAAGAAAAAGAAAAGGAATTAAAAGAAGTAAAGTCCCTTTTACGTCCCTAACAAAAAAATACGATTATCACTTTTCGTTGCTTAAAAAAAATACTATGAAACTTAATAATATGGATACTTTTTTTTTTGTAAAAGATAAAAATGAAGACCATATTTTTTATTAAGAACTCCAAGATACTCGAATAAATGGAAAAAGAAGAGAAAACATAGAAATAAAGAGGAATGAATTATTAAGCTCATCACCACATACTATAGCACACAACCTTAGCTAAGAAGTTATCACGTGTCTGTCACAAGCTTCACAAAATGAGAATGAAAAGAAACGAGGAAAAGGCCGAGCCCCTAGGATGAAAAATTAATCCAACGGATAATTATGCTTAAGAAACAGCTCGGGTTGTCATTGAACCAAGTACCCGACCCGACCCATTCGACCTGATTATCCCTTTGCTTAAACCACCAACCAGAAGGTCCAGGAAAATTGATGGTGCAGTGCAATGTTAGGTGGTGGTGTCTCTCGTATTTCGCATCATTTTCGAGAGTGCGACCTCCATTTTCACTTGGGTCTACCCTTCGGATTTAGTTACTGTGGTCTTCAGAGCTTTCACCTTTCGTTCCCATGGCCTCTAAAACCTTGTTTGGGAGGTATCGCCATTATTCGGAAGCAAAACAGAATGCCATCAAAGTACTACTGTTCTAGCACCCCATCCAAGTCTTCTGGAGAAATTCCCCTCCTTTTTGATTGTTGCAGGTTCTCCTCTTAATTTCATCAAATGGGGTTTTCTCCCCTCCAAGAGTTTGTGCATGAATCATGTACTGATAGTGTTTTCTTACTTTATTTTTTTTGCCTAGAATTCTTTGTACTGTTTGGTTAACTAGATAGTCCTTGAAGTTTGATGGAAACATAATTTGGTCCTCCATTGATGTGTATCTTTCAAAAGTTAGTGATTTGGTATTAGCTAAACAAATCTCTAGGCATTAAACTTAATCTTATACAAATACACACACAATGAGATGATTTACATGCACGACCGTAAATAATTCAGCTGAAAGTTGTTAAACAAAATCTATTAAAAAAATGGTGGAAGTAATAGCCAACCAATACTCATCATACTCTGATTTTTTATCTTCATTATTTGTCATCCTTCTTTGGTCAAGAATCTGATTATCTGTTTCCTTTTCTTTCCGTGAAGCCAACAAGAAGATGAACGTGAAATTCTCTCTGATGGAATATCTGCAGTGGCAGGTTTTTAGTTTCTTTCACTTTGTACCTTACCATTTTTTCAAATGGGTGTCCAACTATGTAATAAGTAATTTGTGTTCTTAGAATATCCATATTGTTTGAAGGGAAATAACGTGCTTTTTTTGAAAAAATAAAAGTGATTGATGCTATAGCTGGGATGGTTATGTAGTTAACCTTGTCATCGTTGTTTCTTATAGGAGGAGGGCATCCCGTTGGACTTCTTGATTCTCTTAGCTTAGTATCTTATTCTTCCTTGACTTTGTGTATCTTTTTATTCTTTAGGTATTTATGTCAATTAGTCATTCCTTTTTACTCGTTGTGCATGTAGGTTTCTTGCTTTATTTGTTAAAACAGTATTGCTTACTTAAGTGGTGTAGGGAACTAGTGAAGAAGGACATGCAAAAATTGGAGTTTTCACTTGGGAAGTTGGCAATAGCATATATGTTATATACCATTATTGATTCTTTCTTAATCATTACCAGGTGGAATTGTAGCATTGGGAAAGTTTGATGCTCTGCACATAGGTCATCGAGAACTTGCAGTTCAAGCATCAAGGGCTGGACCTCCGTTTCTTTTATCATTTGTTGGGATGGCAAAAGTACTTGGTTGGGAACATAGGTATGACATAGTATACGTTTGTATCAAGCCAATTCAAAGGTTCTTTTATTTGTTTATACGGGTGGAAACTGGGATTTGCATTCATATAATACAGAGATTAAATGGATTCAAGTTCAAACAAAAAATTGATCTGTACATAATTTATAAATATTAGGAAATTTTCTATGGAGACCAAAATTTATAGATTAGCCTTGCCCCTGATGCATAAGACGTTGGGAAATGGGACCAATGCTCATGTCATATTGAACTCATGCCAGTATTCCCACTCTGCTGTTGCATATGGATCATAGAATGTAATAAAGCATAGATCGCTGACAGACATATTATTAACATGATTAGTGAAGCTTCCTTTGTTACTGTTGAATATCAAGAACAAGGAGATTTATAAGTAATCCGTGTGTCTCAACTACACAGCGGAGAGACTATTATATAACTCAAAAGAAAGAAAATACAAAGAGATATACATGATGTGGGACTTCTATACTACTATTCTAAACTATTATTTACAACACTCCCCCTCAAGTTGGAGCATATAAATCATATGCACCAAGCTTGTTACATAAGTGATCTATCCTAGGCCTTCTCAAAGACTTAGTGAAAATATCAGCTAATTGATCAGTTGAGTTAACAAAACTAGTGACTATATCTCCAGAGAGGACTTTTTCTCTAACAAAGTGACAGTCTATCTCAATGTGCTTGGTCCTTTCATGAAACACTGGATTGGAAGCAATATGTAACGCAACTTGATTATCGCAAATGAGAGATGTTGTGCCAATGTCTCCAAATTTGAGTTCCTTCAATAATTGTTTTAACCAGATAAGTTCACAGGTGGTTGTGGCCATGGAGCGATATTCTGCTTCAGCACTTGATCTGGCAACTACACTTTGTTTCTTGCTTTTCCAAGAAACCAAGTTACCTTCAAGGAATACACAATACCCAGATGTGGATCTTCTATCACTGGGGGAACCTGCCCAATCAGCATCTGAGTATCCCTCAACTCTGGTATGACCTTTGTTTGTATAGGAGACCTTTACTTGGAGCATTCTTGATGTACTTGAGGATACGGATCACTGCATTCCAATGATCTTCACAAGGAGAATTCAAGAACTGACTTACTACACTGACTGCAAATGAGATGTCTGGTCGAGTAACTGTAAGATAGTTAAGCTTCCCAACCAATCTTCTATACCTTTCTGGATCTGAAAATAGCTCCCCCTGATTTGGCATAAGCTTGACATTTGGATCCATGGGGGTATCGACGGGCTTAGCATTCAACAAAGTTGTCTTCTCTAGAATGTCCATAGCATATTTCTTCTGGGATATCACAATACCATCCTTGGATTGAGCCACTTCAATTCCCAAGAAATATCGTAGTCTTCCAAGATCCTTTGTCTGAAAATGATGACTGAGATGTTGTTTTAACTGAGTAATGCCTTCATGGTCATCACCTGTAATGACAATGTCATCAACATATACCACCAAATAAATAGATCCAGAGTCTGAGTTGCGATAAAAGACTGAGTGATCAGCTGCACTCCGAGTCATACCAAACTGCTGGACAATGGTGCTAAACCTCTCAAACCAAGCTCGTGGAGACTGTTTGAGACCATACAAAGATTTGCGGAGTCGACAAACTAGACTGGACTCCCCCTGAGCAACAAATCCAGGAGGTTGCTCCATATAAACTTTTTCCGCAAGATCACCATTGAGGAAAGCATTTTTGACATCCAATTGATAAAGGGGCCAGTGACGAATAGCAGCCATAGTAATAAAGATGCGAACAGACGCCATTCTTGCCACAGGGGAAAATGTATCTCCATAATCTTCACCAAACACCTGAGTATATCCCTTGGCCACCAAACGTGCTTTGAGACGATCCACTTGTCCATCAGGACCAACCTTGACAGTAAATATCCATCTACATCCAACAACAGATTTTCCAGAGGGAAGAGGAACCAGATCCCAAGTACCACTGCCATGAAGTGCACACATCTCGTCAATCATAGCCTGTCGCCATCCGGGATGGGATAATGCCTCACCTGTAGTCTTAGGAACAGATACAGAAGACAAAGAAGAAAGACAAGCAAAAAGTGATAGAGAAAGGCGATGATAACTCATATTTATTGAATACCTGGGTGGAGGACGAATATTACGAGTACCTTTTCGGAGAGCAATGGGTAGGTCAGTTTCAGAGGGCGGGACCGAAACCGCAGGAGTTGATGACGGAAGATCTGAGTCCATAGGAACCTCATCAATATCTTGGGGTATGCGTGGATGTGGCCGACGATGATAAACCTGGAGAGGAGGATCTGGTGCTGGGACATATGGAGAAGTGACAATAGGCGGTGGTGGTGTGGAATCTGGTGCAGGCGGTGGTGGTGTAGAATCTGGTGCCGGAACATATTGAATTGGAACAGAGAGTAAAGGTAACTGAGTATCAACAGAGTCATCTGGAACGGAGGTGGAGCCAAAAAATGGCACAGACTCAAAGAAAGTAACATCCGCCGAGACAAAAGAGCGATGGAGACTGAGAGAGTAACACCGATAACCTTTTTGTGTCCGGGTGTAACCGAGGAACACACATTTGTGGGATTTGGCAGACAACTTGTCACGATTGGGACCGAGTTCATGGACAAAACAAGTAGAACCAAAAATACGAAGGGGTAATGAATGTAAAGGCTGATGAGGAAACAAGATAGAATACGGTACCTGGTTACCAAGGACAGAGGAAGGCATGCGATTAATGAGATAGCATGCGGTGAGAACAGCATCACCCCAAAAACTAGTAGGAACATTCCCATGAATTAAGAGTGTCCGAGCCGTTTCAATAAGATGACAATTTTTCTTTCAGCAACCCCGTTTTGTTGGGGGGTGTGCGCACATGATGTGTGGTGAAGAATGCCGTGAGATGCCATGAATGATTGAAATGGTTGAGACAGATACTCACGAGCATTATCACTACGAAAAGTGCGGATAGGAATACCAAATTGAGTAAGAATTTCATGATAAAACTTCTGAAATATGGAGAACAACTCAGAGCGGCTTTTCAGTAAAAATAACCAAGTGTTTCGAGAATAATCGTCAATAAAGGTAACAAAATATCTATAACCCCGAGTTGATTCAGTACGACTGGGTCCCCAAACATCAGAGTGAACCAAACTAAAAGGAGAGGAGGCATGACGATTGACTCTAATAGGAAAAGAACTGCGAGTATATTTCCCGAATTGACATGATTCACATTGCAAAGTAGACAACTTGGACAAACGTGGCACCATCTTCTGGAGCTTTGTAAGACTAGGATGACCCAATTGAGCGTGAATAGTGAGTGGAGAATCTAATACAGAATAAGCATGAGAGGAGCTGGAGAGCAGGTAAAGGCCATTGGACTCAAATCCGCTGCCAATTGTTCTCCCCGAATTTCAATCCTGTAAAACAACAGAATTTTGGGTAAAAGAAATGAGACAATCAAGAGAACGTATTAAACGGCTAATGGAAAGGAGATTAAAGGGTGAACTAGGGACATAGAGCACATTATCAATAGTAATGGAGGGAAAGAGATGTACTGTTCCAATCCCATGAGACTGAGCCTGGGAACCATTAGCCATAGTGACAGCAGGCAAATAACCAGAGGTAGAAAGAGAGGAAAACAAAGATTTATTACCAGAAATATGATCAGAGGCACCAGAATCAAGAACCCAATGACCAAATGATGAACTTTGAGTGAAACCAGCAACGCTATTACCTGTATGCACAACAGTAGCAGTGGAACTAGTGATCGTGAGCCGAGAAATATCTTGAGGAAGGATAAATGAGCTAGAATCAGCCATGGATCAAGAACAATTCGTTGAATCGTGAACAGTAATGGAAAAAGGAGAAATGCTTCGGAAGGGCCGCAACGGACTCGAAACCACAAGGTAAGGATCGATCTGAACACGGAAGGAAAGGGTGATCCTAACGTTGGAAGCCGAGCGTATGTTTCACGCACGTGAGGGTGCTTCAGTCGGAATTTAGGAGCGGGCCTTGGACGGAAAGAACCGCCTCCTTGTGACGATCACAACTGTGGGTGGCTCGCCGGAAAAAGTGCCTGAAAAGTGATCGGTGGTGGCGGTCAACGGTGGTCCATAACGCTGGCAACCTCTGATGACGGTGGGTCTTGCGGCGTTGGGTAGATCGGCTTCTTCTGAGTCCGTTGATGTACTTTTTGATCAAAACGATCGCCGAATTTTTTTTCCGGTGAAGGACGGTGGTGTTAGACGGTGGCCGGAAACTGACAGTTTCCGGCAAGATTTTTACTCGGTAGACAGTGGGTTTACCGGAAAGATACGGATCTTGTTAGGCTCTAGATACCATGTTGAATATCAAGAACAAGGAGATTTTTAAGTAATCCGTGTGTCTCAACTACACAGCGGAGAGACTATTATATAACTCAAAAGAAAGAAAATACAAAGAGATATACATGATGTGGGATTTCTATACTACTATTCTAAACTATTATTTACAATAGTTACCATGTTTGAATAACCCGTGGTAGGAAAATAATTATAAACTCAGATGAAGCTGGCTATTGTGGTCCATCACAACAACAACAAAGGCCTTTTCCCACTAGGTGGGGGTAAGGCTTCTCATGGTTTTTCACAAGATTTGCTTTTTTCTTCTGCATGGGAACTAACCTAAAACTTACCCCATCTTATCCTTATCACTTGAGCTATGCCTGAGTGACATTGACAATTGTACTGTTGTCATTGCAATATTTTTCCATCAGGCCTAGTAACTCTGCGATCAATAGTGTATTTGCAATTCGCTTTAAGGAAGACATTACAATGACAAGTATTTGAAAACATTCTCCAGAAGTTTGGTCTTCGTTTTTGGGTTCTTCTGGGTGATTATATATGGAAGATACATTATTTACCTATCCTATAGATGACAAAACAACTTTTGGCGTACTTTTAGTAAATATATAAACTCCTAACTCAGCATTTTTAGATTCTGAATCACTGGAGATTATGGCATCATAATCATTATCTTACGTGTATTTTGTTTAATCAATGTTTCCCTAACAGGGCTCCCATAGTTGCTAAATGTGACCGAAAGCGAGTTCTTTCATCTTGGGTTCCTTATTGTTGTAACATGGTCCCAGAAGAATTCCACGTTGAATTTTCAAGTGTGCGGCATCTCAGTCCACGACAATTTGTTGAAAAGTTATCAAAAGAGCTTAGGGTGCGAGGAGTTGTTGCTGGTAAATAAATAGCTACATAATTTACTGTTATTTGCGCAACTTGTATCAATCCCTTTCACATTAACATGATTTACTGGTATTTGCTATTTTTCCTGAACCGGAACATTAACATGATTTATTCTGAGCCAAAATTACTCTCACATAAACTGAAAATAGATGTCTGTACTTCTGGCAGGTGAGAACTACAGATTTGGATATAAAGCAGCTGGTGATGCATTGGAGCTAGTAAAGTTGTGTGAGGAGTATGGAATGGAAGCTTATATCATAAAATCTGTTATGGACAAGAATCGTTGCTCTGCAAATATAAATTCTAGTACTAATTCCAAAGAGAGGGGACAGGTCTCATCAACTCGAGTTCGTGAAGCCCTTGCTGTAGGAGACATGAGGTATGTCTCAGAGCTTTTGGGTAGACAACATCGTCTGATATTAATGGCCACTGACCAAGAAAGATTCAATATTGGTCAGTATAAGATGTCAGCTCCAAAATCGTGCTTATTGAATCTAGCACCAAAGGAAGGTTTATATGAGAAGTGTTCACTTTTCCTTGGTCAAGAAAATGTTATGCAGTGTAGAGTAGTTATTGACACCAAGTTTGTCTATGTAGAAACAGATTACGGAGGTCTGAGTGATATTTTTGGTACTCAAAATTTGCAGTTCTTGCATATTGAATTTAGTGATTCCAGCTCTTGATTTAGTTTAGATGATTATTTCTATTTAAAATCATAGTCTATTGAGTTATGGATGATTTTCATCGATCCCGCAAAGTGCTTCGGATCAAATTGCTGAATCTTAAAGCTGAATAAGTAATTATTTATGTACTTTTTTTTCTCCTTTAATGGATTATGCATCGAAGCCAATTGAACTTAATTGATTATTACATAATACGTATTAAATAAAGGAAGTCATACTAAAAGAATGGAGAAAAGTTAGCAAAATGATTAAATCTTGTATGGAGTGTTTCTTTTAAAGAGACAGTTGGTGTCATTACACTAAATTATTGGTTTTTTATAAATTTCAATATTGTATAGTAAGAATAAATTTTGTCAAAATTTAAAATATTGTCCGGAATATCTTATTATCAAGAATTAAGATGGAAAAATACACGTTAATCATTTAAAGAATACACCTATAAATTATTGAATGAAAATTGCGAATCCTGTGAACGGCTATGATATTTCATTAATATTATAAAGCCGCGACTTTATAATAGTAATAATAATAAATTATTATGAATAGTATTTTCTATTAAAAAAAGGAAATTGAAAATCCAAGTACTTTTTTATTTAATTTTTTTTCGAAAGAACCTATTTTTGTCAAGATTATCATAAAAAGTACAAAATATATGTTATAGAAGTAAAAAATTTACTGGCATTTCATATGATAATTGAGATTATCAGATAATAAATCCATCATGCATGGTACAGGGTCAAATGCTGGTAAAAGAAGGAAGATGAGAGAGAAATATGATTTTTTTTTAAAAACAGTTTAAGGATGTTTTTGAGATATTTTAAGAAAAAAACACATAAAACACTTCCTTTATAATGACGGTGGTGCAATTATTTTAACTTCAAACAACAACAAAATAAAAATAAAATCCAAACAAATATTCAAATTGTTTTTTCTTTTCTTCAAAACTATTTTAAAAATTTGTAACTTTTTAACCAAAATTGATTTAAAAAAATAATAATTAAATAAAGAAACTTGCTACTTATTTTTTTTACTATTTCTTATTATCAAATCTTCATTATTGATTTTTGTTAATTTAACGGTTATAATTTATTGAAAATTAATAATTAATTAATAAGTATAACTCATAAATTATAATCGTTAAATTAACAAAAATTAACAATTAAAATTTAGAGTAAAGGATTTCTTCAATTATTAGAGATAAAGTTATCTAAAATAAATTCAAAATAACATCGTTTTAAGACGAAATCAAGTTCTTCAGCTAAGCGGGAGAAATACTTTTCCCTTGAAAATTTAATAATAACAGATAATAAAAAAAATAATAAGTAACCTCTCCTTAAAACCTGAAACTCTTGATCGAATTTCTACATCTCTAACCCACCAAGTCATTAACCCAGCCCCTCATTTTTTCTTGAGCCCAAGCACATCCCCACCACCGTTCAACACAGACGAAGCAAGGTTTCTGCTTTCTACCTCAACCCCAAAGATTGCAGGTAATGGCTTTTGTGCTACGTGTTTTTTATCCATAAAGTTGGTATGATGATACTATAATACTGTCTACTTTCTGATCTGAAATGGCAAAAAAATTTATTTGGAGATTAAGATTTCCGCTTGTTGAATATATTTGTTTATAACCATCTCATTTGCTGACTATTTTTTTTTTTTTTGCCTAAACTCCTGGGTTGTACTTATTGCTGCTTCTCTACAACAAAAAGCAGAAATTTTTACTTCTGTGGGGATTTAATTTTTAATAAATATATATTACAATTGCAAGAAGAATTTCGAAGAGACATTAAAAATCTTACAAATTCCTGCAACGCTTCCTTTTTTTAGATAATAAAACAAGAAAAATACACATTCTAGTTACTCAAGAATTTTAGATACTTGTCTATTGGAAGTTTGGAACAAACAAGTAGAAGTAGCCTAATAAGAATCTACGTGAGAAATGGCAAAAACACAATATTTTTCCATAATAAGTTGACTCTTGAAAATGTGAGCATTCTGCTCCAATCCAATGCACCAGAGGGCTTAAATTGCCACATTCTTATGGTCAAAGCCTTAACTCTAACTAGCAGAAAATGTGCTAGAGAAGAACTCACTCAAGGCTGTTTTGTGGCAATTACTTTAAATTCTGAATGATGAGATTTCTTTGCTTTATATGCCTATTAACAACTATATTTTAATTTATTTTTCTTTTTATTGCAGATGTTGAATAATTAACAGGACCTGCTTAAAATGTTTCTTAGAAGAATTGTAGCTGCATGTCCTCTATCAAAAAGGATGTTCAGCTCTTCTGTGAGCCATGACTATGCAAGTGCTATTCAAGAACTCAACAAGGTAAAGTCTTTCTTTCCTTTGTTCTGCTACAGAGGTAAACTGAGTGTCTTTTCTGTTTTGATCACAATACTGATATAGTACATGCCTTTATAACTACAGTGACTTGTTGAGTTAATAGTCTAGCTCAATGCAAAGAAATTGAGTCCTCTTGCTGGATGTTCATATCTTTTTTTCATTTATTATAAATCCATTTGAATGCCTTTCTGGTTCATATGTAGTAATGTTGTATCAGCAGTGGTGAAGGTTTTGTATTAAGGCTTTAATAGAATTAGTAATTCTTCTGTTTGGTTTCATCAGCTTGTATAGTTGGTTCCTTGTCGCTCATTTCATGCATGACCCTTCAAGATTAAAAATTGTTATGCTGAGTTTTTTTTTTTTTTTTTTCTACGTTTACTTCCCGCAACAATTGCCAATTCCAAATTTCTTAAATGCATGATAATTCAGACACTCTGGAGGATATTTTTGAATTGAAGACTGATGTTGTTCTAAAACCGATGTGATCTTCATGACATTCTGCTCAATGTTATCTTAATTTGGAAGAGTGTTATTGGCATCTCGTCCTGGGAACTTCAATCTTTAATGATATCGTGAGCTAGAAAAGGGACATTCAATATGTGATGCAAGTTTTCTTGGCTAGTATCCTAGCGTTGAATTAATTAACTATGAACCTACTCTAACGATTTTTTAGAGCTAAATGATCTGATATTGGTATTTCCCTTGAAAATGCTTTGCAGTAATTAAATGAAGAGGGGTAACTGAAATTGATAAATAGTTCTCTTAACATTCTACCAATTCATAAGTTCAACCATTGATTGTTACAATTTATTAGTTAATTTTCATGAGTAATATTAATACAAATTTCTGTGTGATTTCTATTTTTCTGTTCAATATCTACTGTGAAAGTTTTGTTCCAGTTGTTGTGAGAGATGTTGGTGGAATTATTGTAATCCATTATCCATGCTAAATTGCTTATTCCATTTCAGGAAATGGAATCAGTGTTTGGTGAACCTCCAGCAAATGGACTAGCTAGCTCAGCAAGCAATAGTCATGTGAATAACGAATCCCATTTGGCATCTCAAAACATAGTTGAAAGTTCTTCTGAATTGACTCATACTGGCAATTCAGGGGAAGCTCAAATGGTAGATGTGTCTCCAAAAGAAAGTAGCAAAAGAAGTGCCATTGCTGTTTGCAAGGTAAATCTTGGAAAGAAGGTGTTTGATTTGGTCTTGGCCAATCAAATGGCAAAAGGAGATGTGCTTTCTGTGGCAAAAATAGCCGGCATAACTGCAGCAAAGCAAACTAGTAACCTGATTCCTTTGTGCCATAACATAAGCCTTACACACGTGCAAGTGAATTTGAGATTGAATCACGAGGACTTCAGTGTAATAGTAGAAGGGGAAGCTGCATCAACAGGTAAAACTGGGGTTGAGATGGAAGCAATGACAGCAGTGTCTATTGCTGGCTTAACAGTGTATGATATGTGTAAGGCTGCTTCAAAAGACATAGCAATTACAGATATAAGACTTAAGCATAAATCTGGTGGAAAAAGTGGGGACTACTCCTGGGGACAATAACGGTTTTGAAGCATTCCAATGGATAACATTAACGACCACACTAAGGATGCAATTCCTGAGATTGACAATAATAGTTCTCCATACATGATTTTCCTATAATGGGGTGCATGAATATTGGGACTTGCTTTGATGAAACACATTTTTATGGCTGGCTTTTACTTGTCTCAATATAGACATTTTCAAATTTCAGTAAACCTTGTAAATGATCTAATATTGCTTTTATCTATTTTAACTTTGCTATACCAACCAATCATGCGTAGGTTCAGAAGTTATTAAAAGCATGCAAGTACAAGAATTCAGGTCAGTGTCTTTAAATTTTTTTAAACTTAAATTTAGTAATTTTAATTTATTATCTATGTAAAAATTATTGCACCAACAAATAATACTCAACAAGTCAAATACTTCGATGATATGATAACACGAGTAGATCGAATGCTAAACTTTTAAACTCAAGTATAATTATTTAGATTAAATTTAATAACCGTGTAAAAGTGACATGAATTTATGTAAAACGAAAAAAAAAAACGTGGGATTAAGGTTGTTGGTGAAACAAGTTGACTTCATCAAATTGGATACAGCTATCATTGTTGAAATTTGACTCACTCTCTTTTTTATTTTTTTTCCGTGATTGCTTTGAAATTTAAGTAGCTTACTATTCTGATATAACAAGGTCAGAAACGGCGAACGAGACAGGATAGAGAAAGGGTAAAGTTGTAACTTGATCGTTAATTTTGACCAACGTCAACCCCAACCGCTATAACTGTTGATCCCATTTTACCCTTGACCTTTTTACACAAAATTACTTTTCGAGGGGCAAAAAAGGTCTTTCAGTGACGCAGTATGGGCTTCCTTTCTCTCCCTTTTTTCTGGGAACCACACGTTGTTTCTGCCTCCAATTGCTGTCTTTTCTCACGTTGGGACAATGTCGAATGACGTGGCTCAATCTCGTTGGTCCATTCTCTATCATCACAGTGATATTATTATATATTTTGAATTTTTAGCTTTTCTTCATTCCAATTACACTAGCATTGCAGAGAAAGGGAGAGAGAGAGAGAGGGTTTAATAGCTGGCCCCATAAAACACACAGAGGTTTGTGGTGGGTGGGTCGGCGTTCACACACTCCCAATCGGGCTGTCAAACCGACGTTGACGTTGACAGCCCGGTTCCTTGGAGATATTCAAAAACACATTCCCAGGTAGGTACCAATAAGAATAATCTTTTTCCAAAACCGAATATCCCTTTTTTCTATCTTATTATTCTCTTTTTATTATTATTATTGTTCTTTGCTTCGCGTTTTCTTTACGTGTTGTGATCTCTGCATTGCACGTTTTTCTCATTATTCCAGTTCGATACTAATATAACCTCTACCTACCCTTTTTTCTATCTGCCGATTTTCCATTGATGGGTTTTCCTTAAAGCATTGCTTTTTTTTGTATAAACTTTGGTTTTGGCAGGTGATTCCCGTTTCTGGGTTTTGGAGAGGATTGTTTTTTGCATTGAATTTCTACAATGAGTTCGTTTTCTGGAGCCATTCAGCGACCTCTTGTGGCTGCTGCTGCGGTTGCCGTTGCTTCTTTCTCTCCTGACCTCAAGGATAAATTGCCATTCTATGGATCATCGGGTGATTGTTCCACCTCAAATTTTGCACATTCTCCTAACTCCATACAAGAATCAGATTCATCATGGGTTTCTCATATCTCCGTCTCAAAGCTTGCTAACCTCTCTTTTGTGACCCAAATTAGGGTACCTGTACCTGATGTTCAATTTCGGGTGCCAAGTTTGGGTCACAATTGTGCTTCTAATTTGTACCAATCTTCGGTTGCTTCATCCCCGCTTCTTCAGAATTTGTATCACTCTGCTAACTTGCCTAGAGTGCCTAGGCCTTGTGTATATTCTAATGGTGTCTCCAATTCAACTTCTGAGGTCATGTATAAATGGCATTTGCCCGAGCCAAATGCTTTAGGTGATTCAAATTGCTCATCCACAAAGTCAAGGACGGTGGTGGTCTTGCTGGGATGGTTGGGAGCAAGGCAGAAACATCTGAAGAAGTATGCAGAATGGTACACTTCCAAAGGATATCATGTCATTACCTTTACCTTTCCAATGGGTGAGATCCTGAGTTATCAGCCTGGAGGAAAAGCAGAACAAAATGTTCACTTGCTTGTAAACCACTTGGCTGACTGGTTAGAAGGGGAAAATGAAAAGAATCTAGTCTTTCATACTTTCAGCAACACTGGATGGTTAACGTGAGTGAAATTTAAAATTTTGGCAGTGTTTTTGCTATCATGGATGCCGTTTATCTGTTGCTTGATTGGTTTGGTATACATTGTTGCAGATATGGAGTTGTTCTGGAGCATTTTCATAAGCAGGATCCATCCATAATAGAAAGGATTAAGGGCTGCATCATAGATTCTGCACCTGTTGCTTACCCTGACCCACAGGTAAAGACTATAGCTTAGCAATTGTCAGAATTGTTGAATGTAGCTGTTTGTTGTGCATATGTGTCCTATGTTGTTTATTTTCTCCTCTAGTGTTCAAGCCTGTTATTGCTATCTGTGTCTTTTCCAATTTCGTTGCCGTCCGATATATCCTTACTGCCAAAATGATCAAATACATTAATTTGTTGAGTTATAGTACATTGATGAATCGAGACCTTGGCAATTTGAAACAATTTTTTTTTTTTTTTTAATTTCTTTGACATTTCAGGAATTGATGAGACATTGGCATTTGAACTTTGGTTCTTTGACTTTTCAGTTTTCTTTGACATTTTTTCTTGGCGTGGGAAAATTTAAATCGAAGAAGTGATGCAAATTTCATTAATTTTGAAGCCCTGAAGTTTCTTTTTATATTTTGAGTTTTTGATTAAACTTTGAGTGGACCAATACATGATTTGTGTTATTCTTCTCTCTTCTCATCCTGGTTTTAAAAATGTTTAAGTTTCATGCTAGTTATGAATTTAATTATCTGATTATCTTTTCAGGTCTGGGCCTCAGGTTTCTCTGCAGCGTTTCTCAAGAAGAATAGTGTAGCTACAAAAGGACGTGTGTTCTCTGATGAATCTGGCATTAAAGTATCGATCGGCGGTGATGAAGCTTTAGGATACAAACCTGCAGCAACAGAAGAAGCTTTGCTATTAATACTAAAGAAATTTTTTGAGGTCATTCTGTATCTTCCTGCAGTGAATAGGTAATGACTCCAAACTTACATAATTGTTGTTTAGAAAAAGATGATATTACATCCCAACTTTTGTTTTTTCTTTGATTCTTCTAGAAATTACTATATTATATGGGTGTTAGACCACTATTGATAAGATCAAGTTGATAATAAACTGTCTTGGCCCTTGAATCATTGTGATGTGAGAACACAATATAAGCCAGTAAGTGATTGTATCGTTGTTGAATTTCTGGAATAGAACTTTAATAAGATTTAATATGGAAATAGGTTCTTTAGAAAAGTGATATCTTGCAAAGGCTCTTTCTAAAATGTAACATTATATTTATGTAAGATTTTAGTTACTGAAAAGATGTATGCATGCAATTTCTGGGAATATCAGAACATTCCAATGGTGTTAGCTATTCAACCATGATATTATTTCTTCGGTGTTGGTTCACAGGATATGACAATCATCAATATATTTGGTTCATAAAACCTATAACGGAAGCCATGTATAAATATTCTAATTTGGTGTACATATGCTTGGCTAGTTGGCTTTATTACCAAATAACTAACGCATTCTATAATAATTTCCCATATGAATGGGTAAACTTCTAACTATAGTAGTCTTATTTAAATGCAGGAGGCTATCTGATGTTTTGAGCATGTTATCATCAAAGCAACCAAGCTGTCCGCAGTTATACATGTATAGCTCTGCAGACAGAGTTATACCCGCGGATTCAGTGGAATCGTTTGTGGAGTCACAGCGTAGGGCTGGACATCATGTGAGAGCATGCAATTTTGTCTCCTCACCTCATGTTGACCACTTTAGAAATGACCCGAAATTGTATACTTCTCAGCTCAGTCAATTTTTAGAGGAGTGTGTTGTTAACCATTGTAAATCTCCTCACTAATTCTTTATTTTGCTGGGCTTACTCATACAGCATAATATAGTTGATTAATTTTGATTTTCGAAAGCAGCCATTCCATTAATGGATGGTGGTTAGGACTATATCACAAGTTAACCCCGCAAGGGAAATATATAATTGTTGACTGACAGCTTATAATTGATTCGTTGATGTATTGATAGTGCAAATGAAAGGCATTACGCGTTTCTTCTATGTTTGGGTGGGTGCGATGAGAACAATTTTACATTGTTTTTGTTAGTTAATCGCAAATACTTCCATTATTGATATCTTTCAGATCAATTATGGTAATATGACTTGGAATGTAGAATATAAAATTGGAACCAGCAGAGATGAGTTGCAAAATTTTGGATAAGAAATTAGCTACATGTTTATTAGAAAAGAGGATTAAAAGAAGGGGAAAAGGTGTGTCATTTTAAATTAAGAGAGACAGAGATTGTTTTAGAATTAAAGGACATAATAGAGAAGATGGGAAATTGAAGTGTGGATATCAAGACAAAAATTTCCTAATCTAACCACCCAATAATTTGATATTCTACGTGATAGAAAGAGGGGAGAATATTCTTTTTTTTTTTTTTGAGTTACCTAACCCTAATTACCTCTTTGAGGCGAGTTGGCTCCCTCCGGTATCCCCACAAGCTTCGACTCTTTGAGCCGGCTATGGGACTAATCCGGAGTGCGGGGGTCAGTGATGGCTAAAGGTTCAGTCCCCTAGTGTTAAAATTTCACTGACTCGTGTTAAACTCTGAACCTTGAATTTGGTGATGTGAAATTTTTGTGTTCATCTCTTTCTTCACATATATTAAATAGAAGGGAGAGGAATCTAATTATCATTAATGAAGAAAGAGATTTACACAATAAAATTTTAATATGAAATATGAAAGAGTATTATTATTTAAATATAGGATTTATCATTTATTATGTTATAAGAGATAAATTTATTTTCTATATATATATAGGGATAGGATATTGTGACACCCAAGTTATCTTACAACCATGTGACACCCAGTCAATCTCACCGTTAGATCGCTTATGTTGATCCAACGGTTATATTTATTTCCATCTATTGTATGGTCATGATTTCTCAAATTTAATATTTTATATTTATTTCTACCTTTGTATGGTTATGATTTTCCATATTTAATGCTTTCACTTTAAATTTGGGAAATCATGACCATACAAAGATGAAAATAAATATAACCGTTGAATCAACATAAGCGATCTAACGGTGAGATTGACTGGGTGTCACATGGGTGTAACATAACTTGGGTGTCACAATATCCTATCCCATGTTTTTAATTATTAAATTTCTATTATGCTTAAATAGTGGAATCGAGGGAACACTAACCAAAATGCCACTGTTTATTGACTTTTTATCCAAATGTCATGTGAACAGTAAAATTTACTAGACTGTCACGCGTTGAAGTTCTCTACTGGTAGCCAATAATTTCTTAACACGTGGCACGCTTTCACATAAAAAGCAAACTTGGTAGCGAACTTCGTGTGCTACATGGCACAATCTCGTTGCCCAATCAGAATTAATGTATCACTCACAATTCAAAAAAGAAAACGAAGGAAAATGACTATTTAATTGATGTACTAATGATAATTAATGTACCAATCACCAATCACAATTAATGTATCAATTACCAATCACAATTAATGTATCAATCACAATTAATTTTGATTGATACATTAATTGTGATTAGTGATTGGTACATTAATTGTTTGTGAGATTATTGTTACAAATTCGAAAGATGTTTGTGAGAGATAAAATATGTCAAATAAGGTGTCCTTTGGGTTAAATCTCGAAAACTTACATGAAATAAAATAAAAAATATCTAATTTGGATATCCGAATTAAAATTTATAGCCGTCCGAAGTGATTGATGATTGGTACATTAATTGTGATTGGTACAATCAAAAGTTAATCTTACTTGTACGCTAACTTTGATTGATGCATTAATTGTGATTGCTAATTGGCATATTAATTTTGATTGACACATTAATTAAATTGTTATTTTTCTTCATTTTCTGTGTTTTATTGTAATTGATACATTAATTCTGATCGGGCAACGAGATTGTGCCACGTGGCACCTAGTTCGCTTGAACCTTCAGCGAACTTGGTGCATGTCAGACACGTGGCACACCTAGTTCGCTGCATGTGACATCGAACTTCTCCAATATGTCAGCAATTATTGCAACATAGGCGAGTAGCGAACTTGTTGTCCACCAGAAACGTGTCACGTCAGCAAACCAAGTTTGTTGGGTACTGTAACGAACTTGCCCGCGTGGCATATTGGAAAATAACACTGTTCGCGTGACATTTAGATAAAAAAGTCAGTAAACAATGACATTTTGGTCATTGTTCCTGAATCGAGTCCATATGGACCCCCACACACACACACACACATATATATATATATGGGATAGGATATTGTGACACCCAAGTTATGTTACACCCATGTGACACCCAGTCAATCTCACCGTTAGATCGCTTATGTTGATCCAACGGTTATATTTATTTCCATCTTTGTATGGTCATGATTTCCCAAATTTAAAGTGAAAGCATTAAATATGGGAAATCATAACCATACAAAGGTAGAAATAAATATAAAATATTAAATTTGGGAAATAATGATCATACAAAGATGGAAATAAATATAACCGTTGGATCAACATAAGCGATCTAACGGTGAGATTGACTGGGTGTCACATGGGTGTAACATAACTTGGGTGTCACAATATCTTATCCCATAAAAGAAAGTCTATAACCTACTTTCTAAATATATCTTTTTAAAAGCCCGAGCCTGTTTTTTAAATAAATTTTTTTAAAAGTCTGAATCTACTTTATGGGATAGGATATTGTGACACACAAATAATGTTACGCACCATGTTACGACCACATCTTAACCGTTGATTTCTGCCAATCAACGATTATCGTTTTTCAAATCAAACTCATTAATTAATTATTAATTCGCAATAAATGATAACCGTTGATTGACGAAAATCAACGGTTAAAATGTGGTCGTAACATTGTGCGTAATATTTGTGTGTCACAGTATCCTATCCCCTGTTTTATTTAATAGGCTCTGGTACAGGATACACACCCCTAGTTGTTGCCCATCATTCCGATCGGCAATTAGCCCCAAATCGTGGGGTTGGGGTTTCCTCACCATCAATGGATTCGAATTCGATCGACGACGATGCCGTATCGGGCTCGAGGCTCTGCCTAAACGACCCGTTTACGGACGACGAGCTGCGTTCGATTCTGTCGGGGAGCATGCGGAACCGGATCTTGGATTGGGCTGAGATCTTGATGGGTCTGGAAGACAATTCCATTGAGTTCGGGTTTCAGGTGCCGGAATCGGAACGGTACGTCGGAAATCCGGAGGATTATGTGGATGCGGCGGAGTTTGAGGCGTTGCTGCAGACGCTGGGGGAGAGCGACGAAAGTGGGAGGAGGGGAGCCCCGCCGGCGTCGAAGTCGGCGGTGGAAGCGTTACCGACGGTGAAGATTGCGTCAGAGAGTGAGGCTGTGGAATGTGCTATTTGTAAGGATTTGATGGGTGTTGGAGAGGTGGCTAAGAAAATGCCTTGTGGGCATGAGTACCATGGAGATTGTATTGTTCCTTGGTTGAGTTGCAGAAATTCTTGTCCTGTCTGTAGGTTTGAGCTCCCAACGGATGATAAGGAATATGAGGAAGACAGGGTGGTGGTCAACCCTTCTAATGGGGCAGGGTCTTGGGTTTCGGGTTCGGGTGGAGATTCCACCATTTGATTCCCGCGTGGTATGTTCTGTTCTGTTCTGTTCTGCCATTTGTGTAATATATTTCGTGCTTTCTATCTTCTTTTGTGAACTTCTTTATTAGTGGATTTTTATCAAACTTGTACAGTTTTATTTATTTGAAGTTTTTATCTAGTTTGCTTCTTAGCTCTTAGATGCTAAGATACTTGTATATAACATTTGGATCAATATGATCACACTACTTCAATGGGATTTTCTGTTTCTCCTAATTAAGCATGTCCTTTCTTGTGGACGTTTTGATTGCTTGGGTCACTTGCGATGTTTTATTTGTGGCATAGCCCCATGGATTTTGTTGAAGTGATATTTGGGTCAATTTTAGTTTTTTCTTGGATGAATGATTTTGCTGTTTCCGTAGAAGAGAAATGCTATTTAGAAATTAGGAGAGGGAAAGAAAGGAAGAGTAAAAGAGAGAGGATAAGATAGCATTCGGGCTGAAAGATTCAACTAAGAGTGATTAGACTTCGACTGTGTACTGCACGCATCTGATTTTCATAATGCTCGAAGTTAGAAATAGAATCTAAATACGAAAGTTGTCTGTAGTACAAGAGGAATGGCAACAAAGCACTGCCATTTGCCAAACAAAGGATAAGGAACTGGAACATAACCAGATTAATGTGCAAGAAAATAAACAAGATGAAACATGATATGAATTGTCTAAACAAGTTGCGCCATTTTGTTTGAGAATATTATTATGTATTAATCTTAATAAACAAGATGAAACATGATATTAATTGAATAAACAAGTTGTACCATTTTGGTGGAGAGTATCTACATGTAATATTGTCAATTAAAGTGTTAAGATGAGAGAGCACAGTGTTGAACAGCTGAACTTGTGTTTCATGAGATTATTTCCATCTGTATAAGATAGAGTGATCTCTGAAGGCCGTGCCTCTTTTAATTCAGGCACATTTTTTATTTATTTTTTAACGCGACGCCTTACTAAAAGGACTGGCAGAGTTCTGAATAAGTATTGTACATAATGTCTCTGCATTCTGAAAAGGGAGATAGGGGTTCGGTACTGTTTCTGCTATACGTCACTTTTTGTTCCTTAGCGACTCTTCAACAGAGTCTGATTTTATTAATCACTTCTCTTTCGGTTCTTTTTGTCTAGTTAGTTTGTCATCTTTGAACTGTGACACATATAGGCATACCTTATCTCCTATTCTCTAAATCCATTGTCTAAACACGTTACAGGGATGAATGTTCCCTAAGGCTTTGGCAGTTTGGAGAGGGGAAAGAAAGGAAGAAAAATGGTGGGTATTCTCTTTTTTTTGTTTGGGAGTTAAAAAACTTCAAAATGGGAAAACTTTAATTTTAAAAGCAAGAAGGATTTTGGATGGTTTTGTGAAATTTTCCAATTCATTTCCCTCACTTTTTTAAACTTACAAACAAGGGAAGAGATTAATAAAACTCTTCCCTTCTTTTTCTTTCCTTCCTAAAATTAACTCTCAAATAAGCCCTAAGCGAAAACTGAGGCTATGATTATATTTTCACATGTGTCATAAGTTTAAGGGTTCATTAGCATTTCCATTGTGGTAATTGGGGGAAGTCATGGATTGCCCTCATTTCAACATTCTTTTCTGTCGTCGGATTAATCTTCGATAGAAATAAATCCCTATGTTTGATTAAGAGGATCAGATAAGATGATTATTGGCTTTGCCAAAATTAGTTCTCTTATAAATAGAGACTGAATTGCATTGCGGATCTTTATAAGCTGATCGGAGAGTTGAGATGTGTGAATAGATACTTCAACATCATTTCCTTATCTACGGCAAAAAGGAGAAAGCAATGAAAAGTAGCCTTTGTTTTGATTGGCAAATAACATCTCACGGTTTTTTTATTAGCCTGGAGTAGGATTTTTTTTTTTCCTTCAAGTTAATGGGAGTTGTTGGCCAATCATTGTGGTTTGACAACTTCACGTTGTTTATGTCAGGGATAAATGTGGGGTGAATGAAATAAGATGTTAAATTTATGGATAAATATACTCTTATGTGATAGCAACAAATTTTTGTCTCCTATACACTCAATTTGAAGCGGGGCCCAGCAGGAAAGAGAAGAAAATAAAATAAAAACAAAAACAACACGATTGTCTATGTATAATAAGAAATTTTTGCTGTTACATAAGACTAATATTGTCCAAAATTTATATATTGTTATCTAACATGTCAATGGGAGAAATGAATACAAGATAATTAAATTTATATGATATTCCTTCATTTTATTGGTTTATTTTTTGTTATAAACTACACCTTACACATCTCTCTAAATTTTTTGGCTAAATTAATTTCAATTTAATAAATAAAATATGCTAATTTTTCAAAAGTCTACACTTTAGAAAGATTGAAAAACATTACGTCTGTTAATCATAAAAAGTAGCACTGAAAAGTTATTCCTCATTTTCTTTTCTAAAATTTCACAAATAATCTATACATAATATTTTAATTCTCTGTTTTATATTGCTTAGGACCACAATTTATGCTATTTTTCACTCATCCTTTTTTACACTTTGCACGCAAGATACTATCTTTTCTATTAGTAACTATTGTTTAAAAGATAGATCTCATTGCTTCTTGGGGAATTCCGTGCTATTTAGGCAAAGAAAGTAGGGGTTTGATTTTCTCATGTTGAATGAGAATTCAATTCTCATATTGTAGAGATAAAAAATATGTGGGACCCATGTGTTAGAAAAAATTATATGTAGGATCCATGTCAGCACGAAAATCGAAGGGTGTGTAAGAAACTTTGAATTCTCATGTTGAATGAGAATTATAAAAGCCAAGAAAGTAATCACTTGCAATATTTCTTAATATTCAGATGATCGTAGTATCTCCTTTTGAAACTTGAGCGTAAATTTTAAGATTTTAAAGTTAGTTCATTGGGGGAAAAAAAAAATCTAATTTACGTCATTTTCTTGTTAAAAGTTGTTGGTAAATTTGTAATTATTATTCTTATATTTTCATGCTCCTCATTTGTGTATGACGTCAAAAGAGAAGGCAATTCCTTCTAAGGAAAAGAAAGAAATAATTCTTAACGAATGAAGGTCGCATAGAATCTGCCAGAAGAAAAATCTCTCCCTAAGAGCCGAGAATGCTAAATTTTGCGAGGGCTAAGTTTGCCGGCTTTTTTACCACTTTATCTAATAATTAATTATTAAATTGACTTTAATTATAAATTATTTCAAAAATTTAACCTTGCTTATAAACATAACACCAACCAATTTATTTCTGTTTGACCGTTGACTATCAAGCCTATCTGGGTATCCCCTTTCTACCCAGGTATTTTTTGAAAATTTCTTACTCGGGTATTTTTTGAAAATTTTACCCTACTCGGGTAGGGAGAAAGGTACCCAGGTATATTTCAAAAATCTAGAAAAATAGTTGAATTATTTACCCAGGTAGGTAGGTGGCTATCCTGGAAAATCTGAAAAAATATGAAATGTTGCAGCAATTAATGGAAAAAGCGGTAAAGTCCATTGACAATGTTTGGTATATAGAGCCTAGTGAATTTAAAGGCAAAGACTTGGTCAGATTAAATTATAACAGAAGCTCAGGTCCTCTTCCACATGCTAAGCAAGTATGGATTCATGGGGGGCACAATAATTGGAAGGACGGATTATCAATTGTTGAAAAGCTTGTCAAATCTGATTCAAAAGATGGTGATTGATGGCATGCTGACGGTATGCTCATTTTCATCTTCTGTTACTTATCTCTAATGTTGATTCTTTTAATTGAAATTAATCTTTTGTGACATGCAAGGATGTGGAGTTTGCCATCTGTTTATCTAATATAAAGGACATATGCTTGCTCTTTAAAGGTTGAAACATTGTGAATGTGTTTTGATGCTATGTATTATTTTTTTTCTGCTCATACATGATTGGGAAGGCATAGGTGAATGGCATGCTTTTGTAGATTAGATGCTGATACATGCTTCTGAAGCACCTACTTTGTCCATACAAAGAACCCGCATAATATCTCTGTCGTGCCCATCATTTAATTTAAACATAAAAAAGTTGCAGAATTAAGGGGTTGGGATATTTATGTTCATGCCATCATTTTATTCTATATTCTTTCAAAGTTACACAAGCATTTCTAGTCTGTCTTTATTTCAAAAATATGCAAAGAAGAAAATTTACCCGGGTAGCCCCTTATCTACTCGGGTAAATAATTCAATCATTTTTCCAGATTTTTGAAATGTACTCGGTACCTTTTTTCCTACTCAGGTAGGATAAAATTTTTAAAAAATACCCGAGTAGGGAGGGAATACCCGTGTAGACTTGATGGTCAACGGTCAAACAAGGACAGATTGATGTTATGTTTTAAATTTTTAAAATAATTTATAATCAAGGTCAATTTGATAATTAATTATTAGATAAGGACTATAGTGATCATAAAACTTAAGTTTGCCAGAAAATTAGCACAATCTCTCGAAGAAAATGAGCAACTCTAACCTGGGACGGGAAAATATCTTTAATATTTCCGTACACTTAATCACCTTTTTCTATTTTTATAAAGGAGTATATACGTCAGTGGTACCAACCAATAATACACACCTGGGATGAATTAGTTCCAGGTTTTGGGGACATATATCCCCAGTTAGTTATTATTATTATTTTACTAATAATTATAAGTAGCCTTCCTTATTTGGGGATCTATAATTTAAAGAAATTTGATATTTTTTTCCTCGATGGTTCTATCAGCAGTTAAAATAAAAGATTGAATTTTTTTTGATAAACAAATAAATGATTGATTTAACTCTTTTGGTTTAAGGGAAAATGTTTGTCATTTTTTTTATAATCTGTTTGTCATTTTAAATGACATAAAATTATATCATTTTTAATAAAACTATGTCATTTTGATGTATTTTTATATTTTTTCTCCTCAACTCTTTTTTTATTTCTAATTTTATATTAAATAAAAAATGACAAAGCAGAATTTAATAAAAGTAGTGTAGAGAGACCTAGCCACAAGTATAACTATTTACATAATAACCTTTTCATTACGAGTTATTAAATATTTATATAGGAGGTCTTTTTTTTAGCTTTTATTCTCTTTATAAGCAAAATTTAAGCCAAACAGATTTTTACACAAACTCTTCTACTAAAAAGAATTTTTTATAATAAGAAAAAAGTTAAAAGCTCCTAGAAAAGCATTTTTTAAGTTATATCAACTTATTTTTAATTTGAACTTTTAAATAACTGTTAAGTTAAAAATTGTATACAATCATCAAATAGCTTTTAGCTTTATTTTTAAAACTCTTTTTTTAGCTTTAGTTTAAATTATTTTTTTATCTTAAAAAAGAGAGGTACCAAACAAATACTCTGCCTATAGCCACACTTTATTAAAAAAAAATGATATGCACATCCCAAATAAATAATTTGATTACATCCAAATAATGAGAAAAATTGTGTTTATCTCTAAAAAGTTAACCGACCATATTATTGCTTATTTTTATAAAAAATAAAATTAACAATTAATGATAAGAAAATTTCCAACATCTCTTTCAAAAGTAAGAGAAAGAGAGAGATTGCTTTAGAATCAAAAGGATGTAATTGAGAAGATGGGAAGTTGAAGCGCGGATACTAAAACAAAAATTTGGTAATTTGTTTTATACAATGATGAGAATTAAATATATAATCTACTATAAATTATTTAAATCCTTCACCACTATACCAATTACAGTGAGTTAAATTTTTTTGGTAATCTAACCACCCAATAATTGATATTCTTCATGTTAGATTAAACATATGATATTCTATATTTACGTTATTCTTATCATATAGTTATAATTTTTTTATTTATTTTTGTTATACATTTGCGCTCTGTTTTGTCATCATTCATCATTGTGAGTGAAATTTGTGATACAATAAAAACCTGAAAATTGTGGGAGTGGATGTTAAAAAAAATATGAGATATGAAAATCTGAAATCATAATTATACAGAAGTGGATTAATAGTGAAAAATAAATAAATAAAAAATATATTAAAATAAATAATTATAAAATTATTATTATTAATTTATTTTTATATGAGAGCCATTTCTAAAAACGGTAGATAGAAGAGCAAAAGGATATATATAATTTTTGAGTAAATATCATTTTTCGTCCCTGAAAATATTCACGAACCTCTTTTTGGTCCCCAACAATAAAAAAAGTTCATTTTGGTCTTTAATTTTAGAAAAATAGTGTCACGTTAGTCCTTCTGTTAGTTGAGCTATGACGGCGTCATTAACGTGTCTCACGTGTAAGATTAAGTGGCTGACTCACATTCCACGTAGGACCAAAAACGATGTCGTTGAGTACTTTTTTTTTTTCTTCTTCTTCTCTCCCACTTACAACACCAAAAGCGACGTCGTTTAGGTGCCTTTTAATCTTTTTTTTCCTTTCTCTCTTCTTTTTCTCTCCAATATAAGTCCCTACCACCCCCACCCCCTACTAAATTACAGTTTACCACCACCACCATCTCCTGTAGTGACCACCACCCCTATCCAATGGACCTGAGGCAAAACCTCTCTCCGGGGGGCCAGACATGAAACCATTCAAAGGTCCAAACAGCCAACAACACCAGAAGTGCCATTACCCATTGTTGCATACAATACAACCCCAGACCCCTAAGATGCTATTATATAGTTCCCGTACCTGAGCATCCTTAACAAATAAAGATACAAACAACAAAATCAACTCCCCGAAAACCCAACAAACCCCACAACCACCCCATGATTACTAAGCTGACCATGCATCATCATCAAATTCCCAGCCCCAAAGTGATCCAACATGTTCTGGATACAACTTACATCAGGCCCACCAGATGCGCCCAACCCCTCAAAGCCCACAATTTAGAACCTTCTAGAGGGCACTCATGGCAAGCCATAGAGGCTCAGCACTGGGTCATTCCCCATCCTGCACTGCTGCCCCTGTACACCGACAGGGGAAAGCTTGATGAGACAGCTCATGGGCTGACCAGCTCAAGCTCCCATGCAAGAGAGGACTCTCATCTCTTAATACCCCTCTTACACATGGAGAGGGGACCTTCTTCTCCATCTTCTACCTATGCTGTCACTCTGCCATTTGGGAGAGCACACACCCCCCCTTATGCATCATGGGAAGCTCCATTAGAACCTTGGTCTCTGCCATTGTCACTATGGATACTCCTATATCAATATACTTCACCCTCCATGGGACACATCTTATGTACACCTACGGTACACAACCCATATGCTGTTTCCAGCAAAACTAACATAAAATGAAGTCAAAAAAACACTCTTTGGCTCAAAAGGTGCAAATCAACGAAATCCTCCCGCGAGTGAGTGTTTCAAACAACGCCAAAAGATAAAAGCACAAAAGGAAAAAAAAAATCGCAACTTCGTACAAACGTGACGGTCTAACCTTGCGAGTAAACGAGGATGGATCGAGCACACTCACAACAGATCTAATAGCGCCAGAAACAAAAACAAAAACCCATTTCACAATTTATATATAATATTTTTCTTCTTCTTCTTCTTTGGTTTGATGATGAAGAATCAATATTGAGTTCATCAAGGAGGGTCTCTTTCTTTCTTGGGGTTTTCAAATGGTTTGGGAGAAGATTCTGAATAACGTTCCATAACAATTTAACAAACTTAACATGTCATCCGCGTATCTAATATTCATACTGCAATACTACAAAGGGATTGCAGCAAAAGAAACAGTTCCCTCACATGAAGCAGCAGGTTCCAGGACATCACTAGCAAACAATGCACTCTGGTTACAAATCCTTGCAGTTGAAACATTGGCACTAACAGAAGCCCCCGAAATAGTCTTGAATGTTATGGACCTTTGAATGGTTTCATGTCTGGCCCCCTGGAGAGAAGTTTTGCCTCAGGTCCATTGGATAGGGGTGGTGGTCATTACAGGAGATGGTGGTGGTGGTAAACTGTAATTTAATAGGGGATGAGGGTGGTAGGGACTTACATTGGAGAGAAGAAGAAGAGAGAAAGAAAGAAAAAGATTGAAAGGTACCTAAACGACGTCGCTTTTGGTGCTGCAAGTGGGAGAGAAGAAGAAAAATAGAGAGAGAAGGTACTCAACATCGTCGTATTTGGTCCTACGTAGAATGTGAGTCAGCCACTTAACTGTACACGTCAGACACGTTAGTGACACCGTCGTAGCTCAACTAACAGAATGACTAACGTGACACTATTTTTCTAAAATTAAGGACCAAAATAAACATTTTTTATTATTGGGGACCAAAAAAAATTTCGTGAATATTGTCTGGGACGAAAAAAAGGATATATTTTCTCTGGGTCGAAATCGCCCCTTAACCACAGGCATGAATCCGAGGAAGAAGGGGCATTTGCTCGTAAATTCACACTCGGGTGCTTTACTTACAATCTACGTTTCGCTGTAGACAATCATGAGCACCAGCACCAAACGAGAGTTCTTCCTTTTTTGTTTTTTATATCTCTGAACTAAAACACAGTCGTTATGTTGTGCCAATAATTCTGATCGGCAATTAGCCCCAAATCGTGGGGTTAGGGTTTCCTCAGCATCAATGGCTTCGAATTCGATCGACGACGATGCCGTATCGGGCTCGAGGCTCTGCGTAAACGACGCGTTGACGGACGACGAACTGCGTTCGATTCTGGCGAGGGTGGAGAGCGAGAAGGACAAGGAGGTGTTCGGGTTGGTGTGCAAGAGATGGCTTCGGTTGCAGAGCACCGAAAGGAAGAAGCTTGCCGCACGTGCTGGTCCTCACATGCTTCAGAGAATGGCCGATAGGTTCACACGCTTGTTTGAATTGGACCTCGCACAGTCCGTATCTCGTTCCTTCTATCCTGGGGTCACCGATTCCGATCTTGCTGTCATCGCCAATGGGTTCAGATGCTTGAGGGTCCTCAATTTGCATAATTGCAAAGGTGAAACCTTTTTTGTTCTGTGTTTCTGTCTCTTGGCTTTGAAATTTACTTTTCTGAACTCTGATTGTGATTCTCCTATAATTTCGGTTATTATGTTATTTAAGTTGTGATGTTATATCTAATTTGAGTGATGATTCATTAAGGACTATCACCTTTAAAGGGTTCCTTTTATTATTGTTTAAATTATTTAATTCGGAGAGTTCAAATTTAAAGTAAGGTTGACATGGAATTTTATTTTATTGTTTGTGTTAATATATTATACAGGAATTACAGATGTTGGAATGAAAGCAATTGGTGAAGGTCTTTCGTTATTGCAGTCCTTGGATGTATCCTACTGCAGAAAACTAACTGATAAGGGGTTATCAGCTGTTGCCGAAGGCTGTTGTGACTTAAGGATATTGCATCTTGCTGGCTGCAGATTTGTTACTGATGGTATATTAGAAGCTCTTTCCAAGAACTGTCATAATTTACAAGAGTTGGGATTGCAAGGGTGCACAAGTATTAGTGATAATGGACTGATCAACCTTGCAAGTGGTTGTCAACAGATCAAGTTTTTGGACATCAATAAATGCAGTAATGTCAGTGATGTTGGGGTTTCTAGTATTTGTAGCGCTTGTTCTTCTTCTCTCAAGACATTGAAATTGTTAGATTGCTACAAAATTGGGGATCAGACCATATTGTCCTTGGCCAAATTCTGTGATAATCTGGAGACTTTAATCATTGGTGGGTGCCGGGATGTCTCCGATGAGGCGATTAAGTCGTTGGCTAATGCTTGTAGAAGCAACCTTAAAAACTTGAGGATGGATTGGTGTTTAAACATTTCTGATTCTTCATTGAGCTGTATTTTAAGTCTATGCAGAAACCTTGAGGCACTGGACATTGGTTGCTGTGAAGAGGTGACCGATGCTGCTTTTCAGCTTGTAAGCAGTGAGGAGGCTGGTTTGAGTTTGAAGGTTTTGAAGGTTAGTAATTGTCCAAAGATCACAGTGGCAGGTATAGGCATTCTTGTGGGTAAATGCACTTATCTGGAATACTTGGATGTGAGGTCATGCCCACATATTACAAAGGCTGGCCTCGATGAGGCTGGTTTCCATTTTCCTGAATGCTGTAAAGTTAATTTTAATGGTAGCATTGGTGAGCCTGGTGTGCTTCTTTGATACTAAAATTATTTTTGAAGATTGGCATCTTCATAAGATCTTCCTATGTGAACTTTTTTGATAAGGCGTGCCTTTGGAAATTTGATGAGAATATTTGTTAGTTTGTTGTGCATCCAATGTATTATGTATGTGACTGTACCATCTGGTATTGGTAATTTTTTGATCGGCTCAGTTGTACATTTTACAATTGTTTTCGGCTTTTGTATCTTTGTCCACCCTCGTGCCTTTAGAATTTTGCATTTCTTACTTCATTCAACCTGAATACGACCATGGCAATATCATTTTTTGTATAACAACTGCTTACAAAAATATCATTTTTTATTTAATATATTAAGAAAAACAAAGAAAAGAAGAAGAAGATGGGTTGCTCTTCAAGCTTTCAGCGAGATATAATATTTGAAAACAAGTGTGTATTAACATGTACAAAAAAGTAAGGCAATTATAATATTTGAAAATTATAGTTAATTCTGATCAAGTATTAGTGTAAATAGTTTTAGGGTTTTATTAATCTCATGTCATAGAGACAAACTCGTGGGCTGACACAGTTATCGAAGGGTGTGTAGGAGAAAAATTTATCACATGTAGCATAGGAGTAGTTTTTCCCATAGTTTTATGTCTCTCACCTAAAGTTTTATTATGATTGAAGTGTCTTAATTATTTTTTTCTAAAGCGTGACTTTTTTAATTATAAATTTATAATATATAGAATTTCACCGTATAATTAGAGTGTGCATGACAATCATTCTATTTCTTGACATTGTTCCTGAGAAGAAATAATTCTTTTCTATTTCTGTGCCTTGGAACAGTTTTTGAGAAAAAAAAATATGTTTGATAACATGTTCTATTTTTATTCTGAGAGTGAGAATTCTGTTTGATAACACAACAAATAATATAATAAAAAATAATTTCTATAAGCATTATTTTTTTCAAATCATCACTTTCCTTTCCATACGGTGTGGTGGTGGTGGTGGCGTTAATAGTGACGTGGTGATGATAATGGTGGTGGTGATGACAGTGGCTGCGGCCATAGTAGTAGTAATGGTGGCGGCATGGTGGTGGTGGTAATGGTAGCAATGGTGGTGGTGGTGGTTGGTGGCGACGTGGTAGTGGTGGTGGGGGTGTTGGTGGTTGTTGATGAAGATGGTGGTGGCGTGGTCGTGGTGGCGGTGGCGTGGTAATGGAATGGTGATGGCAGTAGTCGTGACGATGATAGTGGTGGTTGGTGAAAGTGGTGGCTTTGTGGTGGTGGCGGTGTTGGCGGCGACGGGGCGGTGATGGTGGCGATGAGTGGAGGTGGTAGTGATGGTATCGTCGTGGTGATGGTGGCAGTGACATCGTATTGGTGGTGGTGGTGGTGACGATGACATTGGTGGTACATTGACAACGGCGACGATGGTGGCGGTGGTCGTGTCAGGATGATTAAGGTAATGATAATTATGATAGTGGTGGAGAGTGATTGAGAGAAATAAGTGTTTCTCATTTTGTGCTCGGAAACAGAAAAACAGAAATTTTTTTATTCTTTTTTCTGTTCCACAGCACAAAAATTAATTCGGTTCATCCCGGGAACAAAAAAAATAAATCGATTTTACCAAATGAGTTTTCTATCCATTTATGTTCTCGGGAATAGAAATAAAAAAAAATTGATTCCGAGAAAGTTGTCATGCACACCCTTAATATTTCAATTTAAATATTTACGTAAGTATGTAATTTGTTTCTTTTATAATTGGAATACACCCCATTCTATCTTACGCAATTATAGTTTTATATGTGTCAATTTTTTTTAATGTATTCGTTTCTCCAAATATAGCAAGTATATTGATGTATAAATTAATTAATTCATAAATAAGTCATAAATTTTCTTAATAAAATAATCGCCCCTTATTTGAAAATAATCGTAACAAAGTGCGTGTTTAACCACTAAAAAACTTCTTTTATAAAGAGTAGATACTCAAAGTTGTTGGATAATACGCCAAACAATAAAAAACTATCATATTATAGAAGGAAATTTCAATGAGAAAAAATAGATTATCTACAAAATAGTTGAATTATATACGAATTTAATAAAAAAATATTAATGTAACCTTACTAATTTAGAAGTCAAATTAATAATTTGAAAAGAAAACTTGTAATTTTTTTAATTTATTTTATAAATGTACGAGCAGAATTTAATACAATTTTACAAAAATTCCATTAAAAGAAACAAAAATATAATAGATGTTCCGTAATTGGGGAGTGGATCCTCTCACGTGAAAAAATGGTCATGTTATTTGATCACAACCACTTATTGATGATAAGATAAGAGAGAAAAAAATATATAATTTTTAAATAAATAATTGTAATCAAGTAACATGATCACGTAACCATTTTTTCACATAGATTCCGTGCAAGTAATTGCAAGAAAACAAAAACACAGTATATATGGTAGAAAAAGCCAATCATTAAGAGGTTGGATCGGAAAACTTTGATATTCATAGCTAGTAAATTGTAATTGTCTCAAATAACACATCCATTTGTATTAATTTATTGCTTTATCCTTTCCTGGAAATTGATTGAACCGTTGAATAAGACCCACTAATTAATTAAAATAAATAAATTAAAAAATGAGAAAGATGCTGATATTACTGACACAAGACTAGTATTCTAATGTACATTGCACAAAAAACAAACCCAATTAGCACTCTCTGCTCCTTCCATCTCCGCCGTACCGGAAAAACCATGTCGGAAGCACCGTCTCAGCCACCACTCCCAGCCACCGACGCGCCGCCGCACTGGTGCTACCACTGCGAGAAACGCGTCTCCATCGAAACCACCGTGAATTCCCCCGACGTCATCTGCGGCGAGTGCAAGCACGGCTTCGTCGAATCCATTCCCACACCATCTCTCTCGCGCTCTCGCTCACCTTCCGCATCCTCCGACGATCCTTACTTCGGCTCCCAGTTCCTCCAGGTCCTTCGCCTAATCGCCCAATCGGCGCGTGACGACGACGCGTCTCCCCCGCCGCCGCCGAGTCGCTCCCCGGAGAACGATTTCCTCAGGATCGAGGTCGGCGGCTGGGACAACGACGACGAGGAGGAGGACGACGACGGCGTGGAGTTTCACAACGACGGTGAAGGTGCCGTCGAGGAGCCGGAGGATCGATCCGGTAACGAGGATCCGCACGGAGATGATGAAGATCTGAGGCGATGGAGGCGTGAGCTGCTTCGGCATAGGATTAGGGATTTGGCGACCCGAACGAGGAGCATGCGGAACCGGATCTTGGATTGGGCTGAGATCTTGATGGGTCTGGAAGACAATTCCATTGAGTTCAGGCTTCAGGTGCCGGAATCGGAACGGTACGTCGGAAATCCGGAGGATTATGTGGATGCGGCGGAGTATGAGGCGTTGCTGCAGACTCTGGCGGAGAGCGACGGAAGTGGGAGGAGGGGAGCCCCACCGGCGTCGAAAACGGCGGTGGAAGCGTTACCGACGGTGAAGATTGCCTCAGAAAGTGAGGCTGTGGTGTGTGCTATATGTAAGGATTTGGTGGGTGTTGGAGAGGTGGCTAAGAAAATGCCTTGTGGGCATGAGTACCATGGAGATTGTATTGTTCCTTGGTTGAGTTGCAGAAATTCTTGCCCTGTCTGTAGGTTTGAGCTCCCAACGGATGATAAGGAATATGAGGAAGACAGGGTGGCGGTCAACCCTTCTAATGGGGCAGGGTCTTCGGGTTCGGGTTCGGGTGGAGATTCCACCATTTGATTCCCACCTGGTATGTTCTGTTCTGTTCTTCCATTTGTGTAATATATTTCGTGCTTTCTATCTTCTTTTGTGAACTTCTTTATTAGTGGATTTTTATCAAAGCTTGTACAATTTTATTTATTTGAAGCTTTTATCTAGTTGGCTTCTTAGCTCTCAGATGCTAAGATACTTGTATATAGCATTTGGATCAATGTGATCACACTACTTCAACGGAATTTTCAGTTTCTCCTAAATAAGCATGTCCTTTCTTGTGGACATTTTGATCGCTCGAGTCACTCGCATGTTTTATTTGTAGCATAGCCCCATGGATTTTGTTGAATTGGGTCAATTTAGTTTTTTTTGGATGAATGATTTTGTTGTTTCCTTAGAAGAAGAAATATTATATAGAAATTAGGAGAGGGACAGAAAGGAAGAGTACAAGGGAGAGGATAAGATAGCACTCGAGCTGAAAGATTCAATTAATTATGAGTGATTAGACTTCGACTGAGCATCTGATTTTCATAATGCTTATTGCTCGAAGTTAGAAATAGAATCTAAATTCGAAAGTTGTCTGTGTAGTACAAGAGGAATGGCAACAAAGCATTGCCATTTGCCAAACAAAGAATGAGGAACTGGAACATAACCAGATTAATGTGCAAGAAAATAAACAAGATGAAACATGATATGAATTGTCTAAACAAGTTGCGCCATTTTGGTTGAGAATATTAATATGTATTAGTGTTAATAAACAAGAAGAAACATAATATTAATTGAATAAACAAGTTGTACCGTTTTGGTTGAGAATATCTACATGTAATAGTGTCAATTAAAGTGTTAAGATGAGAGAGCACAGTGTTGAACAGCTGAACTTGTGTTTCATGAGATTATTTTTCCATCTTTATAAGATAGAGTGATCTCTGAAAGCCGTGCCTCTTTTTAATTCAGGCACATTTTTTTAAAATTTTTCTATTTTTTTTAACGCGACGCCTTACTAAAAGGACTGGCAGAGTTCTGAATAAGTATTGTACATAATGTCTCTGCATTCTGAAAAGGGAGAGAGGGGTTCGGTACTGGTTCTTCTATACGTCACTTTTTGTTCCTTAGCGGCGCTTCGACAGAGTCTGATTTTATTAATCACTTCTCCTTAGGTTGTCTTTTGTCTAGTTAGTTTGTCATCTTTGAACTGTGACACATATAGGCATAGCTTATCTCCTATTCTGCAAATCCATTGTCTAAACAGTTACAGTGATGAATGTTCCCTAAGCGTAAACCGAGGCTATGATATAGCCTTGATTATATTTTCACATTAGTCATAAGGTTAAGGGTTCATTAGCATTTCCATTGAGGTAGTTGGGGGAAGTCATGGATTGCCCTCATTTCAACATTCTTTTCTGTCATCGTATAGATCTTCGATAGAAACAAATCCCTATGTTTGATTAAGAGGGTCAGATAAGATGATTATTGGCTTTGCCAAAATTAGTTCTCTTATAACTCATATTTTATCAAACTGTAAATAGACTGAATTGCGTTGCGGATCTTTATATGCTGATTGGAGAGTTGAAGGATGTGAGAATAGCTACTTCAACATCATTTCCTTATCTATGGCAAAAAGGAAAAAGCAATGAAAAGTAGCCTTTATTTTGATTGGCAAATAACATCTCACCGATTTTTTTATTATCCTGGAGTAGGAATTTTTTTTTCCCTTCAAGTTAATGGGGGTTGGAGGCCAATCATTGTGGTTTGACAACTTCACGTTCTTTATGTCAGGGATAAATGTGGGATGAATGAAATGAGGTGTTAAATTTATATATTGTTATCTAACATGTCAATGGGAGAAATGAAAACGAGATACTTCATTTTATTTGTTTATTTTTTGTTATAAATTACACCTTACACATCTCTCTAAAATTTTTGGCTAAATTAATTTCAATTTATCAAATTAAAAAATTTATGCAAAAGATTGAAAAACATGACGTCTGTTAATCATAAAAGTAGCACTGAAAAGCTATACCTCATTTTCTTTTCTAAAATTTCACAACTAATGTATACGTCATATTTTACTCATCTGTCTTATATTGCTTAGGACCACAATTTATGATATTTTGCACTCATCCTTTTTTACACTTTGTACGCAATATACTATCTTTTCTATTAGCAACTATTGTTTACAAGATAGTCTCATTGCTTCTTGGTGAATTCCGTGCTATTTAGGCAAAGAACGTAATCACTTGCAATATTTCTAAATATTCAGATGACAGTAGTATATCCTTTTGAAACTTGAGCGTATATTTTAAGATTTTAAAGTTAGTTCATTGGCAAAAAAAATTTAGTCTAATTTACCTCATTTTCTTGTTAAATGTTGTTGGTAAATTTGTAATTATTATTCGTATATTTTCATGCACCTCATTTGTGTATGACGTCAAAAGAGAAGGCAATTACTTCTAAGGTAAATAAATAACTAATTCTTAACGAATGAAGATCGCATATTAGAATCTGCCAGAAGAATCTCTGTCTGAGCTGAGAATGCTAAATTTTGTAAGGGCAATGTTTGCCAGAAAATCAGCTTAGTCCCTCGAAGAAAATGAACAACTCTAACCTGGACGGGAAAATATCTTTAATATTTCCGTACGCTTTAGTATCAACTTTTTCTATTTTTATAAAGTAGTATATACTCCAGTGGTACAAACCAAAAATACACTCCTGGGACTGAATTAGTTCCGGGGGTTTTGGGGGTATATATCCCCAGTTAGTTATTATTGTTATTTTACTAATAATTATAAGAAGCCTTCATGATTTGTGGATCTATAATTTAAAGATATTTGATATTTTTTTTTATATATATGGTTCTATCAGCTTTAAAAATAAAGGGAAATGTGTTTCTTATGTTACATGAGACAATTTGTCTCATGCAACACATAAAAAAGTAGATGAGACTCACATTTTTCTTTTCTCTCAATTTTTTAAAATAGATCCTATCCACTTTTTTATGTGTTGCATGAGATAAATTATCTCATGCAACATAAGAAAAATCAAACCCTAAAATAATAGATTGACTTTTTGTTTTGATAAAAAATAAAGGGATATTGTTTTCTCATCTAACCGGAGAATTTTTTTCCAGTAGACACAAATATGAGGTGAAACTTACTTCATGCTTTTTCTCTCTTCTCTCTCCTCCATTTGTGTTTATTGGATAAATTTTTCTTTCTTTCCTTACATGAAAAAACAATATCTCATAAATAAATAATTGATTTAACACTTTTGTTTAATTGCATATGTAAAAGAAATAACTTTTAATATAAATATTGAAAAAATCATTTATGTTCTCAAAATATAAAAAATATACTATGAAAAGTATGAACAATCCTATATTTTTTTATTTTATTTTTTTTTTAAATGTGTATATCATCTTTAGCTTTGTCCCTCTTGTGGTACATTAACCTCCTAAGCATGATTCCTAAGAACTAAAATTTGAGTAAACCTAAAGATTTAAACAACATTTAGTTACACATCAGGCCTTTTGATCATAACAATATGAATCTTGAAACTTTGTATTAATTAACGTAAAATCAAATAAATTTATCAAAAGAATACAGTACAACACAAAGGTGTTCGCACACATTCAAGCCAAGTATTGTGGGTGTTCATGACTTGCTCATGGACAAATAAACACTTACCTAATTTGAACGCACACACTCCATACTCATCTTGCAGTGCACCATGTGACATATGTGCATTTGCCCCATGTGTAAGTCGTGCAAACCATCATTCGCAACTTGAACACGTATGGCCCTCTTGCATCTCATTATATTATTTTGATATATTTTTTTTAATTTTGTATTAATCAAATAAAAAGTTTCAAATTTTAAATAAAATGGGTAAAAAATCAATGTTCTCTGACTCTAGGTAGAGATGTCCACATTTCTCCCAACCTTGTGGTCTCAGTAAGAACTGAATTTTACTCTACCTGACAAAAAATGAAGAGAGTCAATTTTGTTAATACAACCAAACTTCATTGGAACCAAGGAAACCATACTCTGCTAAACAATTGATCAATCATCTTTTGAAACAAAGGATGCCATAATATGCTTTGATTTTATGGTAAATTTGTTGATCCATCAATCGACGGTTGAAGATGGCTTGTTTGGTTGCTATTTTTTTTTTTTTTAAAAGACATATTGTAAAGATCCTTGTCATCATTAACAGAAATCTAGAACATTACTGTAAAAAACATAAATATTGATTATCAAAATAAAAAATGAAAAGCTTAAAATAATTTACAATGAAAATTATAAAGGAAAGTTTAGGAAATAGTTTTGTCTTTTAACAATTGTTTAGTATGTCAATTCAGCTTTATAAGTTGGCAGAACACGTAATTTATGCTTTTGATGTAAGATTTGCAATCATGAAAGTTAGCTCCATTTCCCATCTAAGTAAGGATTCAGTATGGCAATGCTATTATAAATTCTGCCAAATGAAGATCCATGAGTTATTTTCTTGAGAGAAAATAATCTATATAAAGGAACGAAGCTTCTGGATCCCTGAATCCAAATAGAAATACAAGCAGCCATCCATCAAAATAAACTATGATAAAGTAAGCAAGCATAAAGGGCAAGTGCTTCTGTAACCTTGTCAGCTAAGGAACCATATTAGACATTAACATTAGGTGGGCTATGCTATGCATATCATGTGGTGAGGGTAGTAAGGTAATAAGACAAACTTTTTTGTTTTTAGGTAAAGGGAATGCCAAATCATTCCCGCATCATTCTTATGCCCCACATGTAAGTAAATCTTGTTTAATATTGAAATTCCAAGATTTTGATAGAAGATAACAAGGTTCATCCAACATTATATACTTAAATATGAAATTGGGAAGCCACTTTCACAGAGTTGTAATATCTTAAAAGGTGTGTGTCAACTGTAAAATAAGGTTGCCCATGAATCCACAAATTAAAGAAGATGAGCCTTCTCTGGTCAGGAATAGCAATATGAACAAAACTACACCCTGCATTGCAGGTTTCAAGTAGTTGAGAGTCTCGGAATTCGTGCAATTACTTATAGGAATTTTGATCTGTTAAGCTTTATAAGCAAATACAATAAATGCACTCTTATCATTGTTGATAGAAAAAGAAGTAATAGAAGAGATCAATTGCATATGGATTGGAAATATGTTGGATTAAATTAGGGATGTGATGTGGAAATATGTTGGATTAAATTGGGGATGTGATGTGTCGAATCCAACCGAATTTTTTGAAAAATCGAATTGAATTGGTTTAAATGGTTCGGTTCGAGAATGGTTTGGTTCGGTTGAAAACTGTTCGGTTCGGGTTGACCCTATTTTGAAAAAAAAAGAAAAAGTAAAAATTTAAAAAATAAAGTTATAAAAATCAAGAGTAAATACCTTTTTTGGTCCTCAGCAAATTACGATGCCTGCTTTAACCCCTAGCAAATAAAAAGGCTATTCGTGGTCCCTAAGAAATTCAAAATGGATCCATTTAGTTGAAATCGTGGTCCCCACAAATTCAAAAAAGACCCACATTAGTCTCTCAAAAGAACTAAAATGGATCCATTTTAAATTTTTTAGGGACCACGAATAGCCTTTTATTTGCTAGGGACTAAAGCGGACATTGTAAAATTTGCTAAGAACCAGTATTTACTCAAAAATTAATTTGGTTCGGTTTGGAAACGGTTCGGTTCGGTTCAAAATGGTTCGGTTCTTAAACTGGTTCTAAAAACTGGTTCTGTTCATGAATTGGTTTTTAAAAATCGGTTATTTTAAGAGTGATTCGGTTCGGTTCATTTTTTTTGATTATTTTGCACACTGATTAAATGAATAATAGCCAATTTAGTTTCTGGTTTATCTGATATTGAATATCCTTGCAAATTTTAACAGAAATGGCCAGAGTAAATGTGCCCAATATTTAATTTTATGAAGTTTGACTTTAACTTTTATCTGTTCAACAGGACAAAGGAACCAAAATTTTAAGAAACAACTATTTTTTTTTAATTACCAAGATTATGTAAAATATTTGTACATCTTTTGGAACCATTGCAACCTCACAAAGTAACTTGTGAAGCAAAGGGAATGAACAATTTTACTTCTACAGTTTAATTTTTCCACTAAGCTTGAGAGATAGCTTGCTGAATATATCTGAAAGCTTTGTGATAATTTAAGAAACCCAGAAACCAGAAATCGAAACCATCCACAGTATCTATTTCTATGTACTTTTCTGAAGGCTTCTTCACATTTTGGCTTTGGTTAACAAACTTTATCTTTTTAAGGGGTATCGAGACCTGAAATGACAAATAGATTGAAGTTACATGTTAGCAAAGTCTAAGGAAAGATTAAAGATAGATAGAGAGAATTTGCATACAAAAAATAGAAATTTAAGAAAGTTACCTTATAAAGGACTCTAATCAATTCTCCTTTTGGGGAAGAGATCTTGATGGATCTCTCACTGCAAAAAGCAACTTTATCAGTGGATATGAAGAGGAGGCCAGCAATAGGACCAGATGTGGTTGATAAGTAGCATTGTGATGCTTTTAACAGCTTCTCCCCATCTCTAACATTAAACAGTTGCATAAAGGCCTTCTGCATTCCACCAACCTGAAGAATTCTGGCTCCCAACCTTAATTTCCCTTTTACTGTATCTGTTATCTTTGGCCCCAGTCTCACTGCAAGTTACAGCAACAGTTTCAAGCCATTAGTTACAGCTTCATTCCATTTTCAAACATGGAAAATTATGCATCATATGTGTATTGGAAATTTATCTAGGCCTAGTAATTTTGGAGGTAATGACAGAAATATTGGCAGTGTCATAAAGAAATATTAGAAGTAAAAAATTGAAAATCAGTCTTTCAAGATTACATACCATGCTCTCGGACTCCATTTGCAAAACTGTCAGCCTTTCTCCCAAACTTGTTCATCCTAGTCAGAACTGAATTTAATTTACCTGGAAAGATAAACATGACCATGATTAATAATTAATAAAATTAAATTTCTTGGAAGGATTTATCAAATCCACTTTTGTAATGAAAGGGTGTCCTACTTTGCTTGGATTTTGTGATAGACTTGCTGTATTTGCCAGAAGAATCAGGCAAGTATCTCTTTGATGATTTCCCAACCTGGTATGTTGAGGAGATAGGAATTCCATTAACTAGCTCATGAAGAAGTGAGGCCTTCATATCTGTTGTTATCTTTCAGGGGTTGCACTTCTATCTCTGGACTTGGAGCCTTGGAGGATCTTCTTGAGCACCAACTAGCTTGTTAAAAGTATTCAAGAGCTCTTCTAATTTTGGTTGATGAATACTTGTATTCTACTGGGGGATATATATGGATAAAAGGAAAGAAGGTGACTCTTGACTTTTTGCAGGATGAGTCAGCTATGGATCATCATGAAGACTAAAAGGAAAAAAGTAATTCAAAATTTGAAGATTATGTGTTGGGTTACCTATAAAATAAAGGCATAAAATAGGGTGACATGTCATTTTTAACCCTACAAGAAGATGAAAAGGAAAGATGTCTTTAAATAAGGAAACTTTTTCCTGTACAAGTCTCCCTCTGGATGTTGATACTGTTGGACTTAGTTATAAACTTGGAACGTGGTTGAACTTAATATGGTTGGCTGCATGTTACTGCTTATATTCAGACCAAAGGTTCAGTTATTTCTTTTCAGCTTTCAGCGCATTTGGATATTGACTGTAGGTTGGCCATTGGTTTGCATCATATCTGTTAGATATATAAAACCATTAATGTAGCTTCATTCACGGGCTTAAGCTTTTGGGATGAATTGGTTCTTTACACGGTATCAGAGCCTCGGTTTCACGCATTCGATCTTCATCGCCCCTTATTTTCTCTCGTGGAATTTCTTAGCACAAGTAACTGGACCTACGCATTATCCACCTTTCATGTCTAGTGAGCTATCGTGTGAGGGGGCGTGTTAGAGATATATAAAATCATTAATGTAACTTCATCCACCAGCTTAAACTTTTGAGTTGAATTGGTTCTTTATAATATCTATAGATTTGAAAAAACATCTGTGGTTTCCATGATTTATAGAGACCTTGGTGTTCATCTTTTATTTACTGACATAATGTTCTCATGTTTATTATTTTTGGTTGAAGGCTTTTTGTGTACAGAATTTATTGATGCAAAGCGGGAAAGAAAATAAGAATATTATCCATTTTACAGAATTTATGTTGATATATTTTCCAAGGCAATTTTTTGGATTCTTAAGGAACAAATCAATAATAAGCAGCCGTTTAGCTTTAGGAAATGTCACCCTTTTGCAAATGGGAGAGGATGCAAATAATAATATAATATATCTTATTATCTTAGTTGGTTGGTTTGTTAGGACAATGCCACATGCTTGATGACAAGCCACGATCTACTGCCACTTTATTTTATTTGTAAATGCTAATGCAAAGATGTCATTTAAGCTTTCTGAGCTGGAATTTCACCTTTCTGATGCCAGATCCCTCTTAAGTTTACTCGTATTAGGTAAAGTAAAGAGAGGAAAAGTTCATTTGCTTACATCAACCAGAATTACAAGCTAAATAAATAAATAAATAGATAATGCAGTACTAATTAATACATTCAGGAAAAAATATTCTGCTTTTATGCTTCTTAGCTACATATATAAAAGATTAGAAACGTACCAAAACCCCTACATCAAACGTGCAGTCATTAACGAAACCCATCAGTGTGCTTAAGTGGGTGAAAAATACTATATCATAGAGCTAGCTGACAGTGCTATGGAACGTGAAGTTGACAAATTGTTTAGGTAAGAGATGGAAAGGAAACAAACAATGAATATCTATCTAAGACTGGCTATGTACATCATGTGCTAGGAGCAGTAAAGGGGAAGACAAACTTCAATGTTTCGTGGAAAAGGAAATAGCCAAATCATTCCTACATCATCCCCGTTCCCCACGTGGAAAGCTCTTACTAGAAGTTCATTCTTCATCACTTTCTGTTTTGTATTACCAAAGGGTGATCACTATTATTAATTTTACGTACAACACAATTGGCTTTCCCTGAGAGGTATCAATGATGTGAACTTTAAGTTTGTGGGGAGAATGATTAAATTTACTAATACTAAATTTTCTTTCAATTGTTGTATTTCTTGATTAATCACAATTCCTGTGTATATATTCAAGTGTTAATATAAGTTTGTGCATATTGTGCAGTGGTGTGACTGTGTAAAAGAACACCAATTGTGTAGCTAATGGTTTACAGGTATAAGGACTTATCAATGATACTCTTAAGACCCTTATCATGCACCCACAAAGTTTACTTTGGAACCCAACACAACAAAACCTTTTAACCTTTTCCCCATTTATAGGGGTCCTTTACAAATCTTTCTGAAAGTTTGTGCTCACCACAATAGCTATGGGTCACAAAAATTTGTATCAGTGATTTTCATGCATTACATAGGGCAGTTATTCATCAGCCTCAATGACAAGTACACCGACAATACATGAAATTCTTTTTCATTTACCTTCTTTTCTTGCATCATCAAAGCTTTATGAGCTGGCATTTTAACTTTCTGATGCCATCCTCCTTTAAAGTCTCTTGCAAATAAGGTAAGAAAAAGTAAAATGATGAAGTATATATCCCATATTCCCATGAGGCTGTTCAATAGACAAGTCCTGTTTTCAATCAACAGATTGCTCAGCCTACAAACAACATACATTTCCACTTTCTCTACATGGCTGAAGGGTGAATGAGGATATTAAATTTGTGAAAGTTTTACTTCAAAAAATACTTACAAAGTTTGAAAGTGTGTGAAGGTTCTCACAGAATAATAAGCTTTCAGGATTTCATGCAAAGTTAAACAAAACCAACCAATAATGAAAGTCAATGGGTCAAAATCAGGGGGCCGATCGTGGCTTCCTAAATTTTAATTTTATTTATTTATTTTATATATAAAATAATATTTTTAATAACAATAAATTATTAGTATTAATAGCTAATTTCTCATTTAAAAATATTTATAATAATTAATATATTTTATTAATCTTAATAATATTTATATTTTTAAAATTTTATTTTCACCTCTTATTATAATACTAGAGTACGTCAGTTGAGAACACATGCACCCGCCCAGTTGCTGAATTCGAATAAATTTTAGTGTTAGGGTAGCAATGAAAATTCAATGTTACTGTCAATTGTTATTTATTTTGTGATAGGTGAATAAAAAATATCATAGCATCTAAAATGAAAAAAAAAATTAAATGATAATTGAAAAGAAGACATAATATTTTATTTTATTTTGAAAATACAATGAAAACTAAAGCAACATAAAAAAAAAGCCCTATACTGGGCACAATCTTGGGAGACTAACTCCCCTTAAGTCATTACGAAGCAATTCCAAACAAGTCGTTGGAGAGACATCCAGCACAATCAGTTGTCCATCCTGATGAGGTGCATGAGTAGCAAGCCAATCAACAACAAAATTGTCTTCTCTATAAATATGACTAAGCTGAATAATCTAGTCTCTTTGAAGCATGCTACGAGCTCGGATGATTAAAGCAGAAAGAGGATGACTTATGTCACACCCTTTTATTATAAATTCCAAAGTCACCTTGGAGTCACCTTCCACAAAGACTCTCCTAAATCCCTTATGCCAAGTGAAATCCATACCTCTCAACAACCCCCTCCCTTATCCACAGTAATATTGAATTTTTTTTGCTAAAATTTGGAAGAACACAATGTCTTGCTTATGTGAACAAGAGCACGCCTCATTATTGATTATACCCATTTTAAATTCATGTAGAATATAAAAAGAAATTAAATTAAAAAAACATTTAAGAAAAGATTTTAAAATTATAAAAATACGCATAATTAATTTAAAAATATTTGTAAGGTTTTGCGGAAGAGGAAATTTCCAAAATCCAAATCTTCCCACATCATCCTCGCTCATGCCTCACATGTAAAGCTGATGGTAAAAAGTTCCTTCTTCATCATTTTCTGTTTTTGAGTTTTGAAAGGGAAAACACTATTCTACTAATTGGTATAACACATTCACACACTTGACCAGTTCAACTTACCTAAGGGGAATTTAATGTTGAGCTTTGAAATTTTAAGGGAATGATCAAATTTACTCCATTGATGTTTTCTTTTTATTTGTTGCATTTCTTTATTATTCTCAATTCTTATGTATATGTATTCAAGTGTTTGTTGTCAAGCTGTATGAAAGAACCCCAACCTGGTACTACGAGTTGTCAAATGCCCTAAACCCTAAGCCTCTCATTTTTGCTTCACACCGTTTAACTTTTCTGCATTTACTTAGTTTCCATTTGCTGTCAGTAGTATTTGCTTCTTGTGAATGTGTTTTCTTCAGAATTCTTACGAATCTATATCCTTTCTGTCTCATTTTAATACATAAATAGAAGATCAGGATTTACGAGGCCAAAAAGTTGTTCTGTTCTCTTCTTTTTCATTGTCTGGCTTGAAATCTGTATCAATTTGGTATCATTTATCTCCTAGTTGGAATTGAGCGGCGCGACTAGTGACGTTGGCATTGCAGTAGTTTGAGGATTTGGAGTTCCACATGTGCGGGGCTGCAGAGCATGGTGGGATGTTACATAAGGTATGAGACTTGGAGTTCTACATCGGAAACATAAGGCTATGGTGTGAGGTTTATATGAACTTTGGACTCTCTTACACTATAAGCTAGCTTGTAGGATGAGGATCTCCCAATCTTCTTATCATATTACTAACTGAAAGAAATAAAAAATGAAATTGATTGTGGTTAATAAAATCAATTCACTAATTATTTTAGAAGCTTTCATTTATCAATAGAATCTATCACACTTCCTGTTAATTATTTAAACTAATTAATTAAAACAGACTCACATTCAAGTAATTATATACAAAATTGATTAAAGAGTTTGATGCTATGAATACAATCTGAAATACAAATTCTGGTTCCTGAAAACTTTTACATAATAAATCCATAAGCTTACAAAACATCTCTACACACATTATCTCGTCTCATGTTGGACTTCCTTGTTCATCGGATCCCATTGCAGTTTTCTTCCCACCTTTTCTATATATTTTTCCTTCAATCTTGTCTTCTAGAATAACCACAATTTCCCTTCATAGAGCAGTCCCTGGATGGATGTCTTCTGCAAAAGCAATATGGTCCTTAGCATTGCCAGTGACTGAATACATATAGCTTGGATTCTGCAACAAAGCAGGCACCAAATGATGAACTATTGCATTCACAATGTTTATCCACAATATGCTGGCAGCTAAGTCTGCAGCTCATCTAATATGAACCATATCCATCCACTATCACAGCTCAATGTTGGGTCTTGGATGGAAAGCCTAAGTGTCATGAGATGTTTTGATCATCGGGATGGATAATGCAATGAAGTGAAGTGGCTCTTGTTTTTGTTTCTGATCATCTCTTGTATCAAGATGTTTGTCCTTAAAACATGAAGCTTCAAGCCCAAACGGCGGATTTTGATACTCATCTAAGCTTGAGAAAATGCCTGCTCAAGGTATTTAAAAGTTTTCTGATATTTTGAGACACCCATAAACCAGAAATCAAAATTGTCCACTGTGACTATCTCTATGTACTTCTGTCTTGGCTTCTGAACATTTTCACTTTGTTTCACATACTTGATCTTCTTCAGTGGAATGACAACCTGCACATGACATGTATACTTTTCAGAACTTCAACAAATCTTGGATTAGAGGAAACTGAGAGAGATGAAGATGTTTATGTTTATACTACTTGATGACTTACCTTGTAACGGATCCTACACATTTGGCCTTTCTGATTAAAGACTTTCATTGATCTCTCACTGCAAAAGGAAACCTTTTCAGTGGAGATGAAGAGAAGACCTGCTAGAGGGCCTGATGTGGTGGACAGATAGCACTGGGAAACTTTCAGCAGCCTCTCCCCTTCTCTCACACTGAAAAACTGCTTAAAGACTTTCTCCACTCCACCCACTTGAAGAATGCGAGCCCCTAAGCTCAATTTCCTCTTAACAGTTTCAGATATCTTTGTCCCCAATCTCACTGCAATTTCAGAGTTATATAAATAGCATTAGATATATTCACACTAAACAAAACTGATATAGGTGCCGCAGACATTGAAGGAAGGAGAAAAATAGTTAAACTGTCAGAACCATAGTCCTTTTGATGCAAGATTAAATAGCTTCTTGACTATATTATCCCCCAAACAAAAGGCATGATTCACATATATCGCAGCTCATCAGTGCCATATAACTCAGAAAATGTCTGCTTACAAGGATATTACTCACCATGTTCTTGGATTCCTTGTGAAATATCAGCCTTCCTTCCAAGCTTGTTTACAGTCAAATATGATCTACCTGAAACAATGGAGCTCTCAGTATTGGCAAAACCATCAATACCTAATAAAATTGGATGCTCGATTACAAAGGAAAAGAGATTTTACTTTGCTTTGATGTTGTGGTTGAATATTGACATTGAGTGGCAGGATCAGGTAAGTATCTATTAAACGACTTTTGAAGCTGATCATATGTTGCTGATACGATTGGATTTCCAACAATTAGCTCGTGAAGAAGTGAGGTCTGCATTTTGTATGATTAATATAAGGTTTCTGTTTTATTGAAAGGACTAACAGTAGGTGAAGAGGAATGGCCTGAGCAACTATATTACTAAGGAAGCTATGCTCACTTGGGTTGATGAGTCCCTTGTATTCCAAAGAGGTATTTAAAGGGATGAAAATTAGAAAGTGAATGTTGACCCTTTGGTGGGATGACTCAACCTTGGATCATCAACCATGATCTTGGTTGATAAAAAGGCACTGACATGGCAACTTGAAGGACAGTTATTCAAGATAATATTATAACATCATGGATTGTTTGGTTGCTTTAGAAAAATATGCTACAGAAAGAACCAAGTCAACTTTTTTGAAATATAAAAAATTCTTGAAAGGGTTAGTTTTCAGATGCTGAGAAAGAGGTTTATATATCTTCAGGAGCAAGATTCCGTAGTGGTCGATTGTAGTAAGGGTTAGTTGGAGTGCTTTTGAATGACATGTGAGGATGCATCACCCGAGCTTTATGAGCTGGCATTTTAACTTTCTGATGCCAGACTTTAAATTCTCTTGCGATAAGGTAGAAAAAAGTAAAAGGGTTGTGAAGTTTATCCCGTGTGACTATCTAATAGATATGTAATATTTTGCAATCAACAGACTGCTGAACCTAAAAGATCGTTTTCAGTTTCTCTAACTTATCTTAAGGGTGAATAAGGATATTAAATTCATGAAAGTTCACTGCTAAATTGGTGGTGAGACTTCTCAAAGATAGTCTTATTAATCTAAAGCTGGGATGCGGAATGGAGGTTCTAAAAGAATTAGAAGCTTAAGGATTGCATGCACAGTAAGTTAAACAGAATCAATCGATAATGAAAGTGAAGTGCAAGTTAATGTGTCAATATAGATACACTCTCCAAGAGTAGGCAAGCTGAAAGGACACATGCCTGCATGCTGATGTGGGAGACAACAAAATCTCTTGCTTTTCTCAACAGGATAAGGGCAGCATTCCTTGTACATGGATATGCCTTTTTCTTGTTTTTGAATGATTGACTCATCATCTATGAAGAAAATGAGATCAGGGGCAACTAAAACCATTGTATTTGTGCTTTTTTATTTTATTTTATTTTTTTGTAGAAAAGAGAATTGGAACTAACTGATGCAGAGGTAGTCAATCAGGAAGCCATCAGAGCTCTTTGTTGTGGTCAAACTAAATCATAAAGTGAGCTTGCTGACAGGGCTATGATAATGGATAAATTAGAAAAAGAAGGAAAAGGCTAAGGAACATTAAATTGTTTAGAGCAGAAATTGAAAGTGATCTCAGTAGACTATTGACATCATGTGCTGGGAGAACTAGGGGAAGAGTCTTCTACATATCTCAAGTGGAAAAGGAAATTTCCAAATCATTCCCACATCAT